CACTCTGTCACCCAGGCTGGTCTCGTTCACAGCAGTCCTCCAGCCTTGGCATCCTGAGCACTCAGACGATAGGCTCTCCACGCTGCTCTTCCTTCCCTTTTGATCAGGAGCATCCTAATGTGGCCACTGCTTTCCTTCATGGAGTTTCTAGAACCTACAGAATGAGGAGTACACTCTGATAGACTGGGTCTCATCTCACTTCCACCAAGCTGTGAGACCTTGAGAAGTGACTTAATTAATGTCTCTGAGTCTTCGTTTGTTTGCTCAAGACATAAGGGTGATAATACCCTCCATGGTTGAAAGATACGGTAAAATATAAAGTACCCCATTCTGAACATGTGTTAAAGGGCTCATTAGTCATGCTGCTTAAAGCCTTTCTCTGTCCTTCCTTCCTTCCCTCCCTATCTCTCCCTCTCTGGCACTTTCTTCTTCCTCTCCTTCCCTTTTTCTGGCGCTGAGGACTGAACCTGGGGCCTAGTGTATGTTAGACAAGTGCTCTACCACTGAGCTAGATCCTTAGCCCCCTTTTTAATTTGCTGTTTTGAAATAAGAACTCACTACGTTGCCCAGGCTGGCTTTGAGCTCACTCTATAGTCGAGGAAGGTCTCCTGCATCAGTTTCCCAAGTAGCTCTCACCAAGCCCAGCTCTCGGCCTTACTTGTGAGCCTTTTATTTGCTGGTGTCTGATCACCCACCTCCAAGCATGCATGTGCTGGTTTGTGTAGTAAAATGCACCTTGTGGTTGAGCTTTTTTAGTCTATCTGACTCCTTGGGTGTAGAGTGTCTCCTGAACATAGCCTACACCTTGCCATCCCCACTGTTTGCTAGGTTGTATACAAGGCTGCATTTTGTTACGACACTGGACACGTATATACTATTGTCCTTGGCTCCTATTCTCTCCCTGTCTCCTCCTTCCGTTCCTTAATGGCCCGTCCCAACAGATGGTTCCTCATGGGGTTTCCTTTAAGTTTTCTGAGTTTTATTTTAATTTTATTTGTTTGCTTATTTTTTAACCAATTCAGTAGGTCTTATTTACATATTTGTTCATACACATGTGTACTTACATGTGTGTTTTCTCAGTTTTAAATTAAGAGCAAAGTTATTATTCAGCAAAAATGAGGCTTTCTTTCTTTCTCTCTCTCTTTTTTCTTTTTTAATTTCAATGAAATCTTTATCCCACTAATAGTAGCCTGAAACCCATTTTCTAAAAAAAGGATGGGGGGATCAGTATGGATTTCACTGAGGAAATAAAATTCAATTGGAAAATCACAATTGAACTACTTAGTTCTGGGTAGTCGTAAAGAGTTCTAAGTAGCCAGTGCTAGAGAAGGGGCTACAGGTTTGAGTGAATGAATAGGCTCTGTGGAATACCGTGTGGTCATTAGGAAGAATGGAATGAATCCAAAGCGCTGATGCTTTTGAAAAGACCTTCTAGGTTGAAAACAGTGAGCCACAGAACACTGTATAGTATGGCGCATTAGCACATACATTTTGTTTTTCAGGTATACTTGCATACACACAAAAGTGTAAACACCATATATATTCTAACAGGGTCTGGAAACCTGTATGCTAAGTTTATAACGTAGCTGCCTCTGAAAGGGAATGTGGGGACTGAAAGAGAACCGAAGAGCTGTCAGGGTAGACTTTGGTTTATTCCCTGGTTCTGAGTAATTACAGTGTTTTAGCAGGGAGCATTTATGTATGCTTGTACAGTTGAGAAATAAATACTGCCACGATGGAGATAGATGGAATTTAATTTACATAGGCCGTCCTTGACCGGCGCTGCTTTCTTTTTTTTTTTTTTTTTTTTTTTTTGAGTTTTAGGCCTTTGGCTGTTGTCATCTATCTATCTATCTATCTATCTATCTATCTATCTATCTATCTATCATATATATGCACACACACATCTATCTATCTATCATATATATGCACGCGCGCACACACACATATAATTTCTAGCTGGCAGAAGCACAACCACAGTTTCAGTTCCAGTTCCTTTTTGCAAGTTTCTATTTGGGGACCCTTAAATAATTGATGTCTAAGAAGTTTCATGCCGTTGCCTTCTCTGTCTCATTCAGGAAGCTTTGGATGGGGAAGCACAGAGCAGGGAAGGGTGTTAAACAGACTAAGTTTGGTTTGTTATAGATCTCATTGGTATCTTTCCCCTGGGGATTTTTGTTTGGTTGGTTTTGTTGTTTGTTGTTGTTGTTATTTTGAGACAGGGTTTCACCATGTAGCTCTGGCTGTCCTGGAACTTACTACATAGACCAGTCTGGCCTTAAACTCACAGCAATCTTTGTGTCACTGCCTCCTGAGTGCTGAAATTAAAGGCATGTGCCACTATACCCGGCTTTCCCTGGGGGATTTTGTGCTCTGTGACTTTGTGTGAAATCAAACAGCAGATAAATACTATAGGTTAATGGCAACCCTGGACCCTCAGCTAGAAAAGTGTAAACACTAATCTCTTCTAACAAGGTCTGGAAACCTGTATGCTAAGTTTATAACAATAGCTGCTTCTGAAAGGGAATGTGGGGACTGAAGGAGAACCGAAGAGCTGTCCAGGTAGACCTTGGGGTTAGTCTCTGGTTCTGAGTAATTACAGTGTTTTAGCAGATAACATTTAACTTTACAAAGCGGCCAGCATTTTCCAGTGTGAAGCGACAGTCATCCAGTGAAGACTCGGTGTCTGTCATCATCATCAGCTCAGCGGCACATTTTAAACGTGCGTTACACTAAACTCAGCTTTTCTATCCCTGCCCTAACAGACGGTTCCTTGGAAAACTCTGAATGGTTATATTTTGATACCTAATAATAGATATCAAAATATATAACAACTTATCTTGTTCTGTATCACCCAGAGAAGAGGAGATAAGTGAACTGGGTGGGTTGGTGCACACATGTAATCCCAGCACGTTAGAGGTTGAGACAGGAGGGTAGTAGTCAAGTCAGCACAGGCTTCATAGTAAGACCTCGTGCCAGGAAAAATAGAGCGAGATTAGAAAAGAGAACATGGAGATCACTCTAACCCTTCCGTTCATTCCATGTTAGTCGCCTTTAAAAGAACACACTCCAGAAGCTAGGGCAGAAAGCTTGCTTTGAGTTCGAGGTCAGTCTGTGCTGTAGAGTGAGATTCGACCTCATAATAGAAAATAAAGAAATAAGAAGTAAATGGCAGATGTAGAAAGGGCATTATTGAAAAGTTCTTTGTTTGGGAAAACTTAAGAGCAACCTGTTTGCATAAGATCTGTAAAGCTCCAGAATTTTATTCCTTTATTTTTGAGTCTCCTTGCATAGCCCAGGCTAGTCTTGAACTCATGATCCTTTTGCCTCAGCCTCCTGAGAGCTGAGATCACAGGCCTGGCAGTTTTGTCCTTTTCAAGGTAAAATGTGAGCCAGACGTGGCGGGTGCCTGTGTTCTCAGCTTGAGGGACTGTGGTGGAAGGGATCAGCTGGGCACAACGGCCTAGTGAGGCCTCCTCCTCCTAGGGAAGTTGTTGGTTTGTATGGGCTGGTTGTCACAAATATATGTCTATATTTGTAACAAAAGGGCTCTCATGTAGCCCAGGCTGACCTCCAACCCACTGTGTAGTTAGCCTAGGATTACCTAAGTCTCCTGCCTCCACTTCTAGAGTGTACAGATTACAGGAGTATGCTACCATGCTTGGCTTTTTCCCCCCCTAAGTTAATGAAAAATAAAAAAGAAAGGAAATAATAGCTGATAAGAAACAAACATAAAGCAACTACATTTTTACTTGTGTGATATGTGCCTCTACTTACGAGTTTTCCATCCTCCACTCCTCAGCCTCCAGGGAGGCCTTGGAGAGCTCTTTTGATAATTGGCTGTATCATTTTAGGAAGGAAGGAGAAAAAACTTAGGGTGGTTTTTTGCTTTTGTTTTTGGTGTTTTTGAGCAAACGTAGGATTTCTCTTGGCTTTGAACTGTAATCAAGCCTAGAGGTGTATGACTTAATATGTGCAAAACAGGATCCTTTTGTTGTTTTGTGGTTTTTTTGGTTTTTGTTTTTTTAGTTACTCTGTGATGCTGTAAGAACATATGCTTTCTTCTTCTGTGTGTATTTGACCTAATACAAGTCTCACAGCTACCATACTAATTATAGTGTCTATTACCTATCAGTGAATGAAAGCAATGTAAAGTACTTTATTGCAGTCGGAAATCTGGGGAGACAGCATCTTGCTTTTCAGCCTTCCACTGTACAGTACCTCTACAGACATGGGTTGTTTTGTTTTGGTGTGTAAGTCGTGCACATGAAAAAGACACCGAGCACCACCTCTGTTGCTCTTGGACTTGTTTTGTTTTTTGAGACAGGGTCTCACTGAGCTATCAACTCCCCATTTCAGTTAGGCGGGCAAGCCATTGAGCTCCTCCATCTGCATGTGTCCAGCCTGCCCTGCAAAGTTGGAGTTTCAAGAATGCATCACCATGGCCAGCTTTCAAAACCTCCCATGCGTGTTAGAGATGAACTCAGGTGCTCTTGCTTTCACAGCAAGTGGTCTTACTCACTGAGCCATCTACGGCATCTCCCTAGCTTTGTTTTGAAGACAGTCTTTCTTTGTGTTCTACGCTGACCTTGTCCTGGAGATCTTCCTGCCTCTGCCTCCACAATGCCGAGTTTAGTGTACCACTGCTATGTACCTCTACTATGTTTATCTTCAAGAAATCTTAATCAAAATTAAACATCTAAGGTGGAAAAAAATATGGTTTGTAGAGAAAGGTAGAAAGCCAAATTTGAACATATCTTCGGATGACTGACAGAAGAACATTTGAATGTGGTAAACTTCTGAAAGGACTTTGAGAGTCTCGTGCATGTGTATAATGCATTCTGATCACATTCCCTCCCTTCTCTTGGCCCCCTCCCGACGCTGGCTCACCCCTGCCCTACAAACCCTCCCACTTTGATGTCTTGTTTGGTTTTGTGCTTGGTGTTCTTGACTTGAGCAGCTTTCTTGGGGAGTGGAGTCCTAACTCTGATCTTTTCCAGATTGCAAAAGTTGAGAAACTCAAGCCATTGGAGGTGGAGCTACGACGCCTCGAGGACCTTTCCGAATCAATTGTTAATGATTTTGCCTACATGAAGAAGCGGGAAGAGGAGATGCGGGACACCAATGGTGAGGGAGGGTGGCCTTCCTTTCTTAGGAGTGATAGAACTATAATGGGGACAGATCTTGAGCTTGAATTCTAGAGCACACTCTCCTCAGTTTGGGAAAAGTGGAGTATAACTTGGAGAAAGGAAATTGCTTCCTTGGGGCTATTGCTACTAAAAGGTCAATCAGCTGACTAGATTTTCAGAAGAATGGAATTGTCTTCTGTGATATGTAATGACCATATTCTCAGTTGGCTTGTAGCAAAGGATACCAATTTGTGATTTTTAACGTTTTCAATGGGATTAGAGGCAGAACAGCACTGGAGCTAGAACTCAGAGCTTTGTGCATGCTAAGAAGGTGGGGTGCCACTGAGGTACCTCCCCAGCGGGTGCTTTTGAACAGTCTTGCTGTGTAGCCCAGGCTGGCCTGGGACTCTCCTGTCTTACCCTCACAAGTGCTGAGCTCACAGGTGTATGACCACACCCGACTTTTTGCTTTCTTTTTTTTTTTTTAATTGTTTGAACTCTTAGACTTAGGGACAGAATGAGGTTAATTCATTGTCTTCCCCCGGCCATTGGTTAGCCAACTGAAGCAACTCCTTCATTCCACTTACAGTGCTCTCTCTTTTTCTTAGAGTCCACGAACACCCGAGTCCTGTACTTCAGCATCTTCTCCATGTTCTGCCTCATTGGACTAGCCACCTGGCAGGTCTTCTACCTGCGTCGCTTCTTCAAGGCCAAGAAGTTGATAGAGTAATGAGGCTCAGTCTTCTGTCCCCTGGTGTCAGCCAGCAGAACATCGCTGGGACGTGCCTGCCTAGCGCAAGGCCATTCTACTAACAGTACCATCAAGGCACAGTGGAGTTTTCTCGCCAGAACTGATTTCTTTTGGTGTGGGAGAACATGGGGCACCACCTACACTCAACAAGTCAATGAGGACTTCTTTTCAATGCGGTAGGATTTGGACTGGTTTTTCGACAAGATTATTAAAGTCACCTACGGAAAAACAAAACAAAAACAGGGGTTACCTACCTAGCTAATGCCAAAGCCAGCACTGGCCCTGGGTTTCCTCATGTGGTCCGTTGGAGCTGTTGGCTTCTCCCCCCCTCGCTCATCACCTTGGTCCTTCACTCGAGTTCTTCCCCAGTATTTCTGTGACCACGCTCAGCTTGTTTCACGCCAGTTGTCCTCTTCGGTTTCCCTGTGAAAACACCCTGAACTTTCTCTTGGCCCTTAGATGAAATGTTTACGTAGCTTCTGGTGATAGCCTTCATAATTTTATGTCTCCTAAAAGGGTCGTGGATGGGACACATAAAGAAGTGAGCTTTGAACTGTAGGTAATCTCCTTAAAGAAAATCTCATTTTAGACAATTAAAATGTTTGTGTTCAACTGCTTGAACTCCTTGTGTATGTGTTTAGTTCTGTCTCAGTTTGTCACGTGTGATCCCAGGGATCTTTTCAAGGTGGAGTGGTTCCAGCACGAGGTCTTCCTACTGCCCTATGGCAGCCACTCCCTTCTCAGCTTCTGGCTCCCTCCTCTGCTCACCATGTCTGTGACTTTGTTCCTTTGTTATGGAAGTGGAATCATCAAGAGTGTGACCTTTGGAGGCTGACTTCCCACTCAGCATCATCCTGGTGAAATGCCCCTCCAGGTTGTTGCATGTATGCTAGTTTGCTAGTTGTTACCTTTTCCTTGCTAATACTCCAGGGTATGGATGCTACTGCAGTGTGCTTAAAGGTCACATGGGTGGGTTTGGGGATTTGGCCCTTAACCCGGAAGGTTCTTATGTGAATATAAGTTTTCATCACTCTGGGATGATGCCTAAGAGGGCAGTTGCTATGCTGTGTGGGAAGTAGTTCTTAGACTTCGCTGCTCTCATCTAGAGTGCTATATAGTTCTCATTAGTATTTATCCTTGTTGTTTTAACTTAGCCCCTTGAATAGGTGTCTGTAATACCTCATTATGGTTTTAGTTTGCATTTTCCTAATGGCAGATGGTGTTGACCATTCTTTCATGTACTGGTCATTTACCATCAGTATGTCCTTGTCAATGAGACGTCTGTTCATGGCTTTTGCCCAGTTTCTGTTTGGGTCACTTGTTCATGTCCCTGTAGAGTTTTGTGTAGGCCCTCTATCGACGTGTGGTTGCTTACGTTTTTCACATAACTTCTGCCAGGGAAAAATAAGTACATTTTACCAGCCCTTCATGCATGGCCAGTCATTGACTTATAGTTCCTGTCCTTATATTCCTTATATGTCCTTAATTCCTGTCATAATCTCTTTTTTTTTTGTCTTTTTTTTTTTCAGAGCTGAGGCCTGAACCCAGGGCCTTGCGCTTGCTAGGCAAGCGCTCTACCACTGAGCTAAATTCCCAACCCCTCCTGTCCTAATCTCTAGAAAATTAGACATATGGGGTTTAAACAGACATCTAGAAAAGTCATAGAAAGGTAAATACTTGAAAATTTGTGTTGTAAAAGCAAAGCCAGGATTCATTTGTCAGGAGTGTTAGGCACCTCAAGGCCAAGTCTACTGTACAGAAGGGATGTGGGGCTCGGAGTGTACCTTGTGGTAGTTTACCTAAGGTATGGAAGGCTCTGGTCCCCAGCACTAGGGGAAAGTAGATACAAATGTTTGTAAACAGGAAAAATACTCATTTGTCGTCTGATATCTTTCTCTCTTCTCCCAGGAAAGCAGGTAGGAGTTCATCCTCTCTGTAATCTTTCAACCCTGCTGACCTGTTACAGGGCTTGTCTTAATTGCTGTGCTGAGAAGTACAGGACTTAGAAACACGTTGCTTGTAGTAAAGAAGTGGAATATTGAAATGATCCGAGAATACTGTTAGCTGACCCATGAAGTCTGAAGGTGAAAGAAAGGGAGTGATTTGCGCTGTGAAAGTCTCAGGCCATCCTGTTAAGGTCCCAGTTACTGTAAACTCAAAAGCCCTCTCTGTCTTAGGACTCCCGTAAATTCCTCTGTGGGGCCTAAAGTGCTCTCTGGTACAACACTGCCATCTGCTGCTGAGAAGTGATAGGTCTCGCTTCTAAGAACTTAGCAGTTGAGTCTTCACCATAGCAACAGCAGATGTTCAGGAATCTAACATTCATATATCAAGTGATAGAGGAACAATTCAAGTAGGAAAAGAATAAACAGAGTTTTGGGTCGAAATCCACCTGTAGACTTTAAATGCCTAACAAGAGACTCTTATTTCTGACTTGTGCCTTCCCCTCTTAAGGAGCAGTGAAAGCCACTCTGTGGTTACGGTTTTCTGTTATGAAAAGTGTCACAGAAGGTAGGAGAAAAGAGAATAAGCATTTTGTCCATATTTTTTGTTTCCAAGGAGAGCTCTAAACTTAAGCTTTGTAGAACTGAAATTCCTTGAGTCCTTTCTTTGTTTTGATTCATGCCAAAAACAACCAACTTAGACATTGTATTTTCAGTGAATTGAGGAGCATTTGCCTTTGACAACAGGCTAACACGAAAGCACATCAGCTTTATAAACAGGTATGTTATCTGCTTCCCTCCATTTCCAACATACTCAAAATAATCTGAGAATAATACAGTTTCAACAAACCTTGTTAGATACTATTTTCATGACCCCCCATGAGAGCCGTTCTTCTGTTTGTTAATGGAAAGAGGCATGTGGGATTTATACACACCTGTTGCAGATTTTTGTGTAAACTTTGACAAATAAAGGCTAGCAGAAACCATTGGAGGTGTACTTGGCAGTTACTCTTTAGTGCTTTTTGGTCTGGGTTAGCAATGATTCCTCTACGTTGCTGCTTTTTAAAGTACAGTAAATGAAACATGATGGATTAAAGAAGAAAATGTCCCTAATTTACTCCAGATGGATGACCCTGATATGTGAACTAGTAAACCCTTACATGCGTGTGTTTCTTATGTCACTGCTCATTCCTTGTGTGTCGTCAGAGGGGACAGACCAGCTCTGTAGACTGCTCTCTAGTGTCTTTGCTTGCAGCTCCCACTGGAATTGTTTCTCCAGAGTTTCCCCTTGCTTCTGTTCCAGAAGTACCCCTCTCATTTTAGAACCCTGGAGGGTCTTGTTTTCACATTTTTGGCCTACTGAGTAAACTGCACCCCAGACAACAGAGCAAGTTCTCTTCCCTTTCACTTTGGAACAATTTGCATGAATATTCCTTTTTAATTATTTATTTCTTTACTCTTATGTGTGGGTGTTTTGCCTGCATGTATGTCTGTACACACCTGGGGCACCTGAGAGCCAGAAGAGGGTGTCAGATCCCCTGGGACTGGAATTACAGACAGTTGTGAGCTGCCATGGGAATCAAACCTGGGTCCTCTGGAAAGGCCACAGTACTCTTAACTACTGAGCCATCTCTCCATCTCCCCATGAACCGTCTTTCTAAAAGCCACCATGAAGTGTTCTGTAGATCACTAATTGGCCACACACACACATACACTTAATTAGTAAATCCACAGTCTACTGTGAGTCCATTTTAAATAGAGGTTCCCAATATTTGGAGGTTTTTTTTTTTTTTTTTAAAACAGAATCTCTGTGTAGGTCAGACTGGCCACAAACTCACAGCAGTCCCTTGCCTCAGTCTTCCAGGTACTGTGATTGCAGGGATGAACCACCTTGCCCAGTCAAGTATATTTTCACATCGAAAGGTGTGGGAGCCGCGGAGATACCTCAGTCAGTAAAGGGCATGACACAGAAACATGAACACCTGAGTTTGATTCCTAGCTCTCATGTAAGAGGCTGGGCATGTGCCTATAAGAGCTGGCCTGTGCTTGGGATCCCAGTACTGGGAAGGTGGAGACATTGGCCTGTCATCATAGCCTAATCATTGGGCTTTAGTCCTGATGAGAGACTGCGTCTCAAAAAACAAGGTAGATGGCCCCCGGGGAATGGCACATAAGGCTGACCTCTAGCCTCTCTGTGCATGCACCCACACATACACATACACACCAAAGTGTTTTCTCACTGATGTTTTAGAGAGCATACTGAGTTCGCAAAACTTATAAATGGGGGCTGGAGAGATGGCGCAGTGGTAAAGCGTACTTCCTACTCTTGCAGAAGACCCTGGTTTGGTTCCTAGCACCCATATAGTAATTCTAGTTCCAGGAGTACCCTCTTCTGACCTTTGTGGGCACCAGATAAAAACACATACTGCATACTGCACATACATACAATGAGGCAAAACACTCATACACATGAAATAAAATCTTTTAAAAAAAACTTAGAAATGAACTTGTTTCAATAAAATCACTGCATATCTGTTATATTTAATACATTATTTATAAATTATTCTGTTTGGTGATATCCCACATATGAGCCACATACATAATTTAAATTTTTTTAATTAATCTTTTTTTTTTTAAAGATTTATTTATTTAGTATACAATGTTCTGCCTGCATGTATGTCTGTCTGCAGGCCAGAAGAGGGCACCAGATCTCATTACAGATGGTTGTAAGCCACCATGTGGTTGCTGGGAATTGAACTCAGGACCTCTGGAAGAGCAGTCACTGCTCTTAACCTCTGAGCCACCTCTCCAGCCCCATAATTTAAATTTTTATAGCTGGGTGGTGGTGGGCAGGCGGATCTCTCAGTTTGGGGCCAGCCTGGTGTATAAAGAGAGTTCCAGGACAGCCAGGGCTATTACACAGAGAAACCCTGTCTTCAAAAACAAACAAGTTGTAGATGGTTTGTCTTGATCAAAGGTCTTTAAAATAAATGTTGCGCAGTTAGGAATATTCACAGGTAGTTAGTTTTAGGCTGGGCACGTGACTGGCATGCGCTTATGAGGCTGAAAAGGGAAGCATGCTGTGAATCTGAGGCTAGCCTATGCTACATAGTTCTAGGCCAGCTTGGACTACAGCATGAAAGCTTTGTCTCAAAAAATTAAAATTAGTTTCAGTTCAAGATAATGAATTCAGCATGGACATTCTGTACATTAAACTTAAGATATGTAGGCATTATAACTAAAGCCATTCATAGTTTTGGGCAGTCAAGTTAAAGAAAGCTAGATCTTCACTACAAAGGGACCAGGAAAATGAATTGTTAGGTGTCAGCAAGACTTGAATGAAAGTCAACACTTCTGTTTTAAATAATCTGACCCCCCCCCATTATTTCAGCTCAAATATACACCAACTTTCTACTCTGTTCAACAGAACTGGTTTAGCCAAAATCTACTGTACTCAGATAAATAAGAGGCACTATTTCTTCTCCAAGTGCCTTCTAGTCACTAGTAATACTGTCCTTTGGATAGTCCTGAGAGCCCTTTACACACCCAACAAGTTCCGCTTGGATCCTTGTCTCCTAAATGACCTTCTGGAACCATGGACTTTTAAAAGCACTTACACAAAATTGTTACTGCCTGGTTACCCCCACCCCCACCCCCCGGGTTAGACTGAACTCCATGAAGGTAGGAACCATGTTTATTCTGTGTTATAATCCAGTATCTGGCACATGAAGGTACTTGATCTTTGATAAATGAGATAGTTTGAAATTCAAAACTTAGCCGGGCGTGGTGGTGCAAGCCTTTAATCCCAGCACTCGGGAGGCAGAGCCAGGTGGATCTCTGTGAGTTCAGGGGCCAGCCTGGGCTACCAAGTGAGTTCCAGGAAAGGCTCAAAGCTACATAGAGAAACCCTGTCTCAAAAAACCAAAACCAAAACCAAAAAAAAAGAAATTCAAAACTTGTGTAATCTAGAGCACTTCAAAAGCAACGTATGTAAACAGGAGTTCTCAGTCAGGCAGTATGACATACCCATGGGATAATAACCTGCTGTTCATTCAACCTCTATGTTTCTAGGTACTGCTGTTATATAGCAATGAAAAAAGCAAGGCCCAAGTTCTCATGGAGCTTACATTCTAACAAATGGAGAGAGCAATAAATCAGTAAACATCAGAATGTGAGAGGTGAGCATCTTTAAAACCAACAACGTTAATAGACAGGGAGACCTGTGTTAGTTTGGACTGGATGTGAAAAGGAGCTAGATTTAGTTCAGTGCGAGCATCATACAAGCAGACTATCATGACAGAGATCGGTGCAGAAATATAAATTCAGACAACAGAAATCCCTTGTAGTCTACTATCCAGATGCAGTATGAAATGTTACCATATATTAAATGGAACACCAATGAAGTGTTAGAAATGTGAACTCAACCCTCACACCACTACCAATTCTAATCTTCCTCCTATGTGTACCATCTCTACTTAAAGCCCTAGACTGAATTTCCTGAATATCTACCTTACCATATCCCAACTAATAACCAAGTCCTAAGTGTCCCTCATGGATTTCTGAAATCGGAACCTCTTCACTCAGTGATACTGCCCTAGCACCTCTTGGCATAGAAATTGCCCCCTAACTGACCACCTTTCCGCCAGTCTTGTTCTCCACATTGTTTTCAGAGTTCTTTGGAAAATGAAAATTAGTTCCTACCCTAAGGGGATCAAAGTAATAACTTGAGCTCAGCACTTAAGCAAAAGAATGTTTAGTCACTGTGTTAGCAGAAAAAAGCATAAACAGATTTCCTCAAAAGAAGATTGGAGCATCAAGAGCCTGAAGACAGCTCTCTGGGTAAAGGAATTTGCCATGCAAATCTGGTAACTTGAATTTGATCGCCAGAATCCATGTATATGCGGAAGAAAAGACTCCACAAAGTTGTCCTCTGACCACCACATATATGCCATGGAAGCACTACCCCCATCATGTATGTACACACACAATGGTATAAAACAGCATTTGGGACATAGAGCCCTAATCATACAGTCCTTTGCTTAAAAGTTTCCAATAATTCCCCATCATCCACAGGAAACACCAAACTATACAACACATAAAGCTGTACTTTCTGCTTTTACCCAACATGCACAGTGGCTGCAGCTCCATAACCTCTTAGTCACACCCTGCCCTTTCCCAGTTCTTGGGCCAGATTGCTGGGTTTGACTCTCAAGCTCCTCTTAACTAGCTGTATCATGATAAACAAGTTACCCCCCACGCCTGCAAACACATAACACCTTGTTCCATGATACTGTGAGATTGAGGGCCATAATACAAATAAAAACCTTTAGCATAGTGCCTTCTCAGGCAACCCTGTGGTGTAGGTAATAGTCCTGCATCTTTATAGGGGAAAAAAGTGTTAAAGTTCATAGTAGTTATGAAGTTGCTTGAGGAAACATAATAATGAAACTATATTGACTGTATTACAGTTCCTTTGGTGTCTTGTGGGTAGGGAGCATTCAGTCTCTGTTCTCGAATACGGTGAATGTCTGGCCCTGGTGCTTCAGGAATGCTTCATAAGATCAGACTGTCAAAGATCTGCAAAAACGCATCCGATTATGTTGAATTTGGAAGATGAGAGGGGAGGAAAGAATAGTGTAAGCAGAGTTAAGATATTTTAGGAGTTGTATCTGGCGGTGGTGGCGCAACGCCTTTAATCCCAGCACTCCTGAGACAGAGGCAGGTGGATCTCTGAGTTCGAGGCCAGCCTGGTCTACAGAGTGAGTTCCAGGACAGCCAGGACTACACAGAGAAACCCTGTCTCCAAAATAAAACAATACAATACAAACAAAAAAGATATTTTATGAGTTGTGAAGAGAGGACTTATGGTGGTCATAGGGGAAAGAGGTGGACCTGCTGATTGAGATGTCACAAGTCAAGTGTGTCAGCTTGCTACAGTATCTTTTCTATAGTATGTCTTCAAACAAGAGTCCTACCAATTCTAATCTTCCTCCAACAAGTCGAGTGACTGCTACCCCAGCCACAGCTCTTGGGACAAACGACACCAAGATGAGAGTGGACCACCGTGGAAGTCTGACGCAGTTCGGAGAGCTGGTAGGGGATGCAGGGAAGCGGTCTGCAGGCCCAGAGGACACGCGTGGTAGCCCTTCGGCTCCCACGACTCCCACAGATGCCAAGCCCAGTGTCGCCCGAGGGATGCGGGACTCGTCGGCAACAAGTGGGCACGCGAAGGCGGAGGGAAACCTCAGCGAGCCGGAAGCACCGAGAACTGCTTCCGGGTCAGGGGGCAGGCGCCACCATGGAAGCTCGCGGGGCCGCCTGAGCCGCTGGCGGGCTTCTGAGGCTGGGGAGACGGTGCGCGGCCGGCGCTGCCCGCCGCGGATACGCAGGCCTCCGCCATGTCGGTGCTGGGCGAGTACGAGCGACATTGCGATTCCATCAACTCGGACTTTGGAAGCGAGTCCGGGGGTGGCGGGGACTCGGGCCCGGGGCCCAGCGCCGGCCCGGGGCCGCGAGCCGGCGGCGCGGCGGAGCAGGAGGAGCTGCACTACATCCCCATCCGCGTCCTGGGCCGCGGCGCCTTCGGGGAGGCCACGCTGTACCGCCGCACCGAGGTAGCGGCCCTCGGCTCCGGCCACTGCCGGGCCGCCCCGCGCCCCCCTTCCCGGCCCCGCTTTCCAGCCCGGCTTGCCCCGAGTCCTCGAGTGCTGAGGCATCCAGTGGGTTTATGTCTCGGGGGCTCCCCCGCGCTTTCGGTTCACCGGCACTAGGAGATTGGGGTTGATCACTGTCACTGTCACTCTTATTTCACCGGGCGAACTGAGCGAGTCACTGAGCAGTCTTGGGAATTTTCGTTTTCCCGTTTGTATTTGGACGTAGCAATAACTACCCTAAAAAAGTTATCTTTACTTTTTTTTTTTAAGGTTATTTGGAGATCCAAAAGAAGGTGCTTTGCACATTGTGAACAGTCTGTTGGTAAAGTTTACTTACTTTCATATAGCTGTTCAAGGTCGGGATGGGGAGTTGGTATGTGCTTCTGAATACCCCCATTGACACCAACTCTGCTCGTAGTGGCGTTATTTTTACGTTCATAAATGATCACCCAGAAGATCATCGTGTCTTGTTTTGTTTTGTTTTGTTTTGTTTTTTTCTCCTTACTTATTCTTCAGTGCTTGTATAAGACCAGATTTATTGATGTAGCTAGCTCTTAACTATTGGAAGAATAAGAACCCCTTTCTTTGAGAACCCGGGAAAGCCAAGTCATCTTTCTCACCTCCTTGCCTAAGTTCACACCCTTTGGAGAGACCGTGGATCACTGACTCCCAAATTAAGAATGTATACTGATTTAAAACCCTGTAGTGATGATTCTACTCCCAAAAACTAACCATAAACTGGTACAGCCTTAAAGCTCTAGCTTTAGGGTAAACATTTAATGAGAACTTGCTGAGGTTGCAGCAGGTGATTCATCCACCTGCAATTCTAGTGTCTGCTCCCAGCCAGCATTTTTTGTGCTGGGGATGAAGCAGGCTTTGCCATCGTTAGGAAGACATTCTACCACTGAGCCACACCTCCAGCCCCCAGCGTATGGCTAAGGCTGAAAGGTCAAAGAAAAGTGGTTGGAAAAAAAACAAAAGAACTTTGTATTCTTTTTTATTCCAGTACCCCATTAGTGAACAGTGTTGGAATTAGTGTCACCTGTAATAGTCTGTATTCTCATTTGTGCTCAAAATGAGCATCACTGTTGTTTTCTAGAATTTTAAGCCAAGTGTATTTAAGTGGCTTACTAGCTCAAGATTTAGAATAAATCTTAGACGATAGCTCCAGCTTCACATCTCTTTGTTACCATGTTGAACTTGAGTACTAGCTTTGAGTTAATTTTTATCACACTTTTATCAACTGTATGGCATCATCTGTGTCGCCCATATTTATTAGCTCTGAATTTACAAAGCTTGTTAGAAGCGGCCCTTTTCCTCTAGGTTATAGTTCAGTTAGAGGAACAATCAGCCATGTTAGTAAACAGGGTTTCAGGTATGGCTGTGTGTCAGGGAAAAGAATGAAGGACTCTCAGTGTGCAGGCCTGAAAATAAGAGAATGATTCGTATTTACATGTATGGTAAAAGGTTCAGAGTTTTCCAAAAGAAAGTTTTAAAGGCCTTGCAGAGGTATTCTGCAGGAATGTTAATGGAGTGAGGGTGCTGGTAGGCTAGGAATCTAAAGAATTAGAAGTATCCCAAAATGGAGTTAGGTCAGTTTGCATGGAAGTGCCTGCAGGTTATGAAGATTAAAAAAAAAAGCGGGGGGAAGGGGGGAATGTTCTGATCCTGAAAGAATAAACGAAAATCACAAAGTTTACATTTATGAAATCAGGCAGACTTACTCTTTGATTTTACAAGGCCCTGTTTGTCAGCAGTAGATGCTGGATACTTCTCTTTCTCCCCCAGATTCTAGCTCTACCACAAACCCATTCTGACTAGGGACCAACAGCACCCCTCAGTAGAACCCTTGAGATCTGGTCTCATCTATTACTTCTACCTGGAACTGATACTGTGCAAATTAAGGGGAGCAACAAAATAATGTTTTAATATTTTTTCTATATTTATTTATCTTGTGCATGTGTGTGGAGGGGTTAGTTTCCTCCACCATGCAGGCTCTGGGGCTTGAATTCCAGTCATTAGGTTTGATAGTAATTAGCTTTATCCAGTGAACCATCTTACCAGCCCCAGAATAACATTTTTTTTTTTTTTAAGATTTAGTTTTATTTTTAATTCACTGTCTATACGTGGGTATATGCAAGTGAGTGCAGGCCCCCTCACATGTCAGGGGCATTGGATGCCACTTAGGTCCTCCCAAGAGCTAAAATTACAGGCATTTGTGAGCTGCCCAAGGTAGAAGCTGGTAATCAAACTCTGGTCCTCTGCAAAAGCAATACATCCTCTTGAACACTGAACCATCTCTCTAGGCTGGAAAACTGCACCTCAGTGCTCTGTTTCCCTAGTTCTTCAGTAAATTATGATAGTTGTGTGCAGAACCTTTAAAGTCCTAACAGGAAAAAGTAAAGAGTCATTCTTTACCCTCTAGGAGGTTTTCCTTCTAGGCTCACAGGTTGGGTATGGATCCGGGCACTGCCAGGCCAGAGGAAAACACAATGCTTCTGCTCCTGTGTTGTAGGATGACTCCCTGGTGGTGTGGAAGGAAGTCGATTTGACCCGACTCTCTGAGAAGGAGCGTCGGGATGCCTTGAATGAGATTGTCATTCTGGCGCTGCTGCAGCATGACAACATCATCGCCTACTACAATCACTTCATGGACAACACCACCCTGCTCATCGAGCTGGAGTACTGTAACGGTGAGGTGGAGTTCAGTGGAGGCAGTCACATGACCGTGTTACCGTGGGAGGAGTGTAAGAAAAGATGTACAGGGATAAAACTTGAAATGGATTCTGGAGTTAAAGAGAAATAGTTGAGGTCCTGGAGCGTTTTAAGGTGATGTTCAGAGTATGGAAGGGAGTTTCCTCCGTCATCACTTTCTTATAGGTGTATTTCTGGCCATCTTCAACTTAGTGAGTTTTGGTGGGGAGGGGAGGTTCTTTCTGGTTTTTTGTTGTTTGGTTTTGGGAGTCTCGCTGTATTGCAGGCTTGTGGAGAACTCAATATATAACCCAAACTGGCCTAGATCTGATAGCAGTCCTCTGCTTCTGCCTCCCCAGTGCCGATATTGGGAGCCACCACTCCTGGCTCTTCTAATTACTTTTTTCAGTTATATTTGTATAGATTTTTCAGAGTTTTTCCTCATAGAATGACATTAGTTTGACATTTTAGACATAATTTAACATAGTACCAAACAATATAACGTTTAATGAAATCTTATAGGGATATTTATTTACATTAACTTCAGTTAATGCTATCCTACTGATAAATGGTCTAAAGATCATAAGTGAATGAGAACGATAATATGATGTGGCCTTATTTTTCTGATTTCTGATTTCATGGATGAATTTTCTTATAGATAGCAACTCTGCCTAGTTGTTTAAGAAACAAAATACCGGGGCTGGAGACTACCCTTCCAGAGGTCCTGAGTTCAATTCCCAGCAACCACTTGGTGGCTCACAACCATCTATAATGGGATCTGGTGCCCTCTTCTGGCCTGCAGGCAGAACACTGTATACATAATAAATCTTTAAAAAAAAAAACTGACTCACATCCTAAGTTCCATTGGTCTTTAACCTTGGGCAAAATAACCTTATTTCCTCATCTTAAATATGTTTGTTGATCTGAAGATTTATTAAGTGAGTTCTTGGTATATAGCAAGTGTTTGATAAGGCCTTATTATCTGTCGGCCTTATTACACAAAGTCCTTTTCTGAGCTGCACACGAAGGAAGCCTCAGCATAGTCATCTGCACTGTTGTTTGGAGATTGTCTCTGGTTCTGACAACCCCAAATGTACAAGTAATTTTTGAAATAGCACAAGCCTTACATAATTCACTTCCTTTGTGGTTAAGAGGAACTAGAACAAATGATATTTTTTTTTTCACTCTGCATTACTGAATTGTAGGGGAGGAGAATTGTAAACATTTAATCATAAACTGGAGCTGTGGGTAGGAAATAAGATGAAATTTACACTTATTCCACAGGCAAAAAAAATAACTTAAAATGATATAGGGGTAGACCCTAAATTTTAGGAAACTTTTCAGTGCAAAGCAAAATTTGTTGATGAACACTATTTTTAAATCCATGCAGCAGAGGTGTGATCCCCAGGTTCTAGTAGTCATTGCTGACAAGATTGCTACAGACATTGTAGATTCCTTAGAGGGGAGTCTAGGAAGCAAGTGCTCTGACTTTGAAGCTGTCTCCCTAGAGGCACATGAGTGGTCTTTACTAAGCTTTTCTAAAGCTGATAGTTCCCAGGTTTGTACTGAGCCTCTTGTGCTGGGGGAGGAGACTTCTGACAGCTATTTCTGACACGGAGATGGGAAGAATTTTGTACCTATGTGAAGAACCAAGAGGGAAGAAGTAATTTCCTTTGGAAAGGAAGCAGAACCCTTCATTTCCTGATGTCACCTGTTAAACCCTGTTAATACAGAATCAAGCTTTTCTTTCCATTGAGCAGCTGAACTGTTTCTTGTTTAATTGCAGGAGGGAACCTGTATGACAAAATCCTTCGTCAGAAGGACAAGTTGTTCGAGGAAGAGGTAATTCATATGTGTGGAAGGAAGCTAGAATTAGGTTGAATTCTTGCATTCTGCTTCTGCATTTCCTCTTTCAACAATGAAGAGTGTTCTTTTCCTTTTGTTCAGACTCCTTCCAGGCTGAGTGATATTCATGAGAAAGGAAACCTCTAACAAGGAAGCTGTCTATAGCTGCTTCCTAACGGTTTACCTCCACACCATGATTCACTATGGGCTTTCTTTCCTGTTCTATTACTGCACTCTGGTATGCCCAGTTTTCTGTACCTTTGCATCTTCCTGGGTTCTTTCCACAAGTCTGCTCTACCATACCGTATGTCATGACCTTGGAACTATTGTAGATGACCTGCGTTTTCTTTTCACCCTTACTCCTTTTCTTTGCCTACTCAACCTACCAGCAAGGGCTATCAAGTCATGCTGAGTTGTAACCCCTGCTTGCACCTTCTTTTGGGTGTGTGTGTGTGTGTGTGTGTGTGTGTGTGTGTGTGTGTGTGTGTGTGTTTATTTATGGAGTTTTTGTTTCTAATCCAAATGTAACTTCTTTTGAATCTGCAGATGGTGGTGTGGTACCTTTTTCAGATTGTTTCAGCAGTGAGCTGTATCCATAAAGCTGGAATCCTCCATAGGTAATGACTGAGAAGAACTTATAGGTTGGAATCTTCACTACCAATCCAGTGTCTCCCTTAAGTGCCTCCCGTTATCATGTTCTTGTCAAGGTTTCCCCATTGATGGTTAGGGGAAGGAGTGAAGAACCATGTTGTCTTCACTCTGAGGGTAGAGCAGGGTTAGGAGTTGAGAGGAATCTCCTCAGCTGCCGAGTTGCTAAGTTCTTAGTCATTTCTTTTAGTGGGTACTCTAGAGTTGAGTTCATTAATTTATCTCCGAGACAGTGCTGGAGAGGGAATTCACAGTGAATGTTTTCTCTGAGGAAGAGTAGTTGACAATTGTTGTTAATACTGTAGTTTTATTTTGATTGAAATAAAAGCCTGTTCATTTCATATGATTTTCCCAAGTCTTTATTTGATAAAAATTTGGGGAGAAAAGGTTACCATTCAGTTCTTGCAATAGAAGAAAGCCATTATAAGAACATTTCTACGTTATTATATCCTTCCTAAGAGAGAGAGCATTGCTAGTATTGATTATAATATACCAGAGTTTCTTTTAGTAGTTAATCCATTTAGCTAGACTATATTTGTTTAAAACTACCGAATGCCTACATTACATGGTTGTTACTTTCGTTTTAAAAGTAAAGAGCTATATTGTTCTGCTCCAGTTTACTCACATTTTGCATAAAAGAAGCCAGAGTGTGGGCCAGACAGATTGTGTTATATGATCAGTCAGTTCATCTTTAGAAAAGTGGCCAGAAGCTTTATCTTGATGACCGAAACAGCCTAGTATGCTGTTTCTGAGACATGCTGTCTCTTGAGCCGTAACAGATTATTTGAAACGTTGACACCGTCTGTCTGTTAGCATATATAATTCCAGGCCTGACTGGTAGCTGGAAAGGCAGTGTACGTCATAGGCATGTGGAGCACCCACCGTCAGGTCACCTGACTCTTCTCTCGATGCCGTCACTGATCTGTGAGACACTCCTGTGTTAGGAAGAGAATTCTTTACTTCCTAAGCCCCTTCTTCCCCAGTAAACTGGTGGTGACTACTGTATGAGGCATATCAAACCTTGTGACAGAACCCAAGTGGTGGTAATGCTCATTCTTACTCTGTACGGATCCCAGGAAAAGGGAAGAGGGGAAGTTAGGTCATTGTTACAGGGATTTAATGCATTACACCTTTTTTTTTTTCAGAGATATAAAGACATTAAATATTTTTCTGACCAAGGCAAACCTGATAAAACTTGGAGACTATGGCCTAGCAAAGAAACTTAATTCTGAGTATTCCATGGCTGAGACAGTGAGTATAACCTTTAACTTTTTTCGAAGTTTTTTGAAATCTATGTCTGTGTGTGTGTGTCTGCATGAGTTTATATACACCCATATGAGTGTAGATCAGAGGAGGGTATTGGCATTACAGGCAGTTGTGAGCCACCTAATGTGGATTCTGGGAACCACACCTGGTTCCCCTTGAAGAGCTATAAGTACTCTTAACCCCAGAGCCATTTCCATAGGCCTCGTACTGTGATTTTTGTGACATTTGGTTTATTTTGTGTGAGTACACATGCATATGTGCACACATGCATGTGGAGGTCATGGGAGAACTTGTGGGGTCACTTCACTCCTTCTACTGTGTGGATCCTGAGGACTGAACTCAGATGTCAGGCTGGGCAGCAGGTGCCATGGCAGCTGGGCCATCCTACCTAATCTTTTCCTTTTCTTTTTTCTTTTTGTTTTGGTTTTTCAAGATAGGCTTTCTTTGTGTAACAGTCCTGGCTGTCCTGGAATTTGAGTTGTAGACCAGGCTGGCCTCGAACTCACAGAGATTCACCTGCTTCTGTCTCCCCAGTCCTGGGATTAAAGGTGTGAGCCACCACCACCCAGCCAAATTGAACTTGTAAAGAAGCTATTCTTTATGGATTTTTTTTCTCATCAAGTTCAATCTGATAAAACCAAGATTTGGCTCTTACTTTTAGCTAGTTAAATACAATAAAGAAATGATACAAAAATGTATAAATGCCATGTAAGCCTTTTGAAATTTTTTTTTTAAAGATTTATTTATTTATTATGTATACAGCATGTATGCCTGAATGCCAGAAGAGGGCACCAGATGTCATTACAGATGGTTGTGAGCCACCTTGTGGTTGCTGGGAATTGAACTCAGGACCCTCAGGACCTTTGGAAGAACAAGCAGTGCTCTTAACCTCTGAGCCATCTCTCCAGCCCCACCTTTTGAAATTTTTGATTTGTTAATTAAAGATGTCTGTGTTCTTGGAAGTGGTGTAGTTAATATACATAACATTTTTATTGTCAGGCCTTGTGTTCTTTTTTGAGGTAGTGACTGCTGTGTAGCCCAGGTAAACCTTGACCTAGAGACTCTCCTGCCTCAGTGATAGGATTACAGGTGTATGCCACTGTGCCCAACTTTCAAGACCATTCTTTTAGTTTTTTGTTTTTTCGGTTTTTTTGGTTTTGTTTTGTTTTTAAACCAGGGTCTTGTGCACCCTACATTTGCCTCAGATCCCCTACACAGCCAAGGCTGGCCCTCGCCTATTGATCTTCTCCTTTCATCTCCCCAGTTCTGGGCTACAGACACGTACCACTCTGCCCAGTTCTGAGCCCATTATTTTTGGTGTTTTGGATGTTGTTGTATGTGTATGGGTGTTTTGCCAGAAGAAGGTGTCAGATCCCCCAGGACTGGAGTTACAAACAATTGTAATTTGTGCCATGTGAGTGCTGGGAATAGAACCCTGGAAGAGCAGTCAGTGCATTTAACCACTGAACCATCTCTCCAGGCCCATTCTTAATATGCTGGTTCACAAAGGTCAATCTGAGCCGTTTAGAGCATTTCATTATTTGCTTTTCAGTTCAAACCTTTAACTCCTTTATTCAGTTGCTATCTCTTTTCTCACTTAGTCTTTTCCCACTGGAGTGTGTGTGTGTGTGTGTGTGTGTGTGTGTGTGTGTGTGTAAACCCCTGGAGGCCAGAAGGAGGCATTGGATCCCATGGAACTGGAGGCACAGGCATTTGTCAGCTGCTGGATGTGGGTGCTGGGTTCCAAACTCTGGTCCTCTCTGATAAAGAATTTAAGCACTGAGTCCTCCTTACCCCGCAGTTGGTAAACCTTTAAGTGTGCCTCTGTATTAGTCAGGGTTCTCTAGAGGAACAGAACTGGTAGGATGGTTTTATAATAGAAGGAGACTTGGTAGAATGACTTAAAGACTTGCTGAAGGAAAGGCCGAGAATCAAGTAGTTATTGGGTCCACAAGACTGGATGTCTCAACTTGTCTCTGGTCTGTGTTGGAGCCCTGAAGAGGTAGATTCTTACACCAGTGAAGGAATGCCTCAGCAGTAAGAGAGATAGATGACTTGCCAATAAGAGGAGGGCAAACAGGCAAAAAACAAAAGCTTCCTTCTGTGTCCTTCTATGTGGGATGCTACCAGATGGTGTGGCCAGATTTCGGGTAGCTCTTCAGATCTCAGCTGGTCCCTCACAGGTGTGCCCCACTGCTTGGGTTTTAGTTGGTTCCAGATATGGTCAAGTTGTCAAACCAGATTAGCCATCAGTCTCTTACCTGGTTGAAGTTTGGAGTAGACCTTGAATGTGTAAAGCCTGTGTGAGGCATGAACCACTGAGCTTGTCTTCCAAGTTATCCATAGTGCTTTACCAAAAATTGCCCTGTGGTAAGTGGCTCAAGAGATTTGCTATGAACACTGTTCCTCCTGCTGTGCTGGGCTGGTCCTCTACCTACTGAGCTGAATCCCCAGCACCACTGTTTCTCACTATTTGCGTTAGCATCATCTCATGAAAACCTTTTGCAGCCTGCTAATGGACACTTTGTGATTGTTATCACTAATTCCTGTAACTCTTAACTTAGCTGTTGAAATGTTTATGTAGTTACCTGAGAAGAGAAGTTAATTCTGTATTTTTTGTTGTTTAGCTCGTGGGCACTCCATATTACATGTCTCCAGAGCTCTGCCAAGGAGTAAAGTACAATTTCAAGTCTGATATCTGGGCAGTTGGCTGCGTCATTTTTGAACTACTTACTCTAAAGAGAACATTTGATGCGACAGTAAGTTGGTGTATGGCCCCCATAATGTCCTGGCAGTGTAATACATGTTGAAGCGAGTCAACTGCATTCGTCCCTGAATTTCTCATTCCTGACAGAAAATCACCTGTAGTAAAACAGACAAACATGTAGTTAGAGTCTGGGTTATAGTATGTTATTAAAATGCCACAGATCAGGTTTATCTTCAACCTGAATTCCTCTGTTGAAATGACCTTAAGCAAGCAGTTGGAGCACTGAACTTGAATTTGTTGACTATAATTTTAAAACGGTCTCTTAGAGTCACCTGTGTGATGCTACAGTTTGGAAAACTTTCCTTTCTCACACTTTAGCTCCATCAGTTTTGTTTTGTTTTCAGGCTAAGGCATATCATGTATAGCACCTCTCAGCGTTTTGAAGTAGCCTACACTCTCTAAGGAAAGATCACCTTTGTCTCTGTGGACAGCAAATCTCTTTAAATCGTTTTTCTTTTCTCATCTTTAAAGCCTAATGTAAACAAACGGACAAAAACAGAAAAAAACCTGTTTCTCCAACTTTAATACACATTGGGAATCACCTGGACATCTTGTTACAGTGTAGACTCTGTTTGACCCGGTGGGGTGGGATGGGCAGAGGTCTGTGTTTCTAACAAGCTCCCAGATGCCGCTGTTGGCTCTGCTCCGTGGACCACCACACTTGGGAGCAGCTGAAGTGGATTCTAATCACCCACTTTGCTACAGCAGGTGTGAGAATGTAGACAAATCCTCTCTGTGGTCCTGTCTCATCACTGTAACATGGAAATGATGTGTATGTCCCCTTGGAGATTTTCTGATACCACATATGAAAAAAGCAATGTAAGGTAATGCAGACTCACTGGTCTGTTATTAAGAGACCTGTTTCTGATCCCAATTGGTATCCCCTCTAATTCTCCCAAATAGTAGAGAGGAAGAGAAACAACTTGTAGAATACATATAGACTTTGGGTGGTCTGATGCCTCGCTTTGTACTGTCTGTGATTTGGGGCAAGTAATTTTCTATTTCTGAGCTCCATTTTTCTCATGTACAAATTAATGATGCTAATAACTTCCTTACATTGTATTTATGAAGATAAAAAAGATGTATGTAATATGCTTTTCCTCAGTCAGGTGGTGGTAACTCTGTTACACTGCTGTTAACTACTGTCCCATCTTAAGATACTTTGTGAATGTTTTCCTGGAGGCAAATTAGTTAGCAAGGGAATTACAGGAAACCAAGAAGCATGCTTAATCATGCTTCTTTTTTGTGTGTGTGTGTGGGGGGGGGGGCAAGGTCTCATGTAGAGCGTGCTGGCCTCACTCACTATCCACCCAGGGATGACCTTGAACTCCTGATCCTCTTGTCCCTGTCGCCCTATGCTCCTACACCTGGTTATGTTTCCCTTTTTCTTGAGATTCAGCTGAAGGGTGAGATTGTAATGTATTCTGAGGAACATACTGTTAGCTACACGTTCCTGGTTTTGATCTCTGTGCTAGAGTTCGCTTCATTCCCTCTGATAGCAGCAACACAGCTCCCCTTCTTCCTGACGCACACTAATAGTTCTGAGATGGAGTCAGCTAACACAGAACTGTTGCCACTTCTCTGTAGAGTCACAGATACCTCTGGCACCTGTTTGATAGAGATAATACTATCTTTATGTTTTCTTTTTTTTTAATTTTAATTATTTTATTCATATGGGTATTTTGCCTGCATGTCTGTGCACCATGTGAGTGCCTGATGTCTGCAGAGGTCAGAAGAGTGTATTGGATCTTCTGGAATAGGAGTAACACATAGTTGTGAGCCATCATGTGGGTGCTGGGGATTGAACCTGGGTTCTCTGGAAGAGCACCGAGTGCTTGGAACTGCTGAGCCATCCCTGAAGCCCCAATAATGCTATCTTTATATAACCAGGAACAATGCAGTCATCCATTTCTTCTAGAACCCACTCAACCTGTGTGTGAAGATTGTACAGGGAATCCGGGCCATGGAAGTTGACTCTAGTCAGTATTCTTTGGAACTGATCCAGTTGGTCCACGCATGCCTTGACCAGGTAGGCTTGATGTATCTATTTCATGTAGCCTCCATGTTTGGGGTATGATGAGGATATGAAGCACACAAACCCCTCTCTCCCTCCTCAGACTTGTCTCAGGATAAGCATTGATAATTCAGGATATCTGTGTGCTTTAGCAAACAAAGCCTTACTTTATTCTATTTTTGTAAACATTTTTTAAATTATTTTTATTTTATGTGATTGGTGTTTTGCCTGCATGTATGACTGTGTGAGGGTGTCTAATCATTTAGATCTGAAGTTACAGACAGTTGTGAGCTGCCATGTGAGTGCTGGGAATTGAACCCAGGACCTCTGGAAGAACAGTTAGTGCTCTTAACGGATGAGCGGTCCTCCAGCCCTTACTTTTCTCTATTTTGGAAATATGTAATTGTAAGATGATTTTAACATCTAAATTGTGTTCCGTTTTTTATGGTGAAGTTTTATTTTTTGTTTTTTTAAACAAGGTTTGTCGTTGCATAGCTCAGGCTGGCCTTGAACTTGCTATGGTCCTCCAGTCTCAGCCTGCTGAGTGCTGACACTGTAAGTATACACCATCACACCTTGTAGGAAGATGAGTTTGATTTTTATAAAACTACAGTCATGCTGGGGGTGGTGGTGACACATGCCTTTGATCCCAGCACTTGGGAGGCAGAGGCAGGAGGATCTCTCTGTGTTTGAAGCCAGCCTGGTCTACAGTCTACAGAGAAAATTTCAGGACAGCCAGGACTACACAGAGAGAAACCCTGTATAAGGAAAAAAAAAAAAAAAAAACTACAGTCAGGTATAATTTTAAATTGTTAACATAATGAATATATATAGTTATATTAAAGTTCCTTTATTGTGTGTTGAGTTCTAGTGTTACTGACAGTGTGGGCAGGAAGCTACGAGCATCAGAATCCCCCAGTTGGAGAGTTTTATCTGGGTAAAGAAGATTGCTGGGCCTTACGTCAGACAGCAGAGCCTCTAATAAAGCCCAGAAATCTCTTTGCAAGGGCCCAAGGTGCCTCAGTGCATGTGTGTTAGGCTTGGAGAACAGATGAAGAGGGCACATTATACAAATCCTCACTCATGTGCAGAGCTTATCATAGCAAGAGAATTGATAAGCATTAAACATGGGAATGTGACATAAGAAAAAATCATTTTTGTGAAACAAAGTCTGATTATGTAGTCTTGGCTGGTCAGGAACTTGCTATGTAGACTAGGCTGGCCTTGAATCACAAAGATTTACCTGTCTCTGCATCCTGAATGCTGGGATTAAAAGTGTGCTCTGCCACACCTGGCAAGAAATTATAATTTTTATTATAATTTTGTTGTTGTTTTAAAGATTTATTTATTCATATATTTTATGTATATGAGTACTTTGTCTTTGTGCACACCAGAAGAGGGAATCAGATCTCATTACAGATGGTTGTGAACCACCATGTGGTTGCTGGGAATTGAACTGAGAACCTCTGGAAGAGCAGTCAGTGCTCTTAACTGCTGAGCCATCTCTCCAGCCCCTTTTTTTGAGAACTTCAGACATGGGCACTAGCTGCATCGCCCCTTTCCCCTCTCTCCCCCTCTAACTCCTCCCATGTCCCTCCTCCCAAATTCTTGATTTCTTCTTTAATTATTATTGTTACATGTAAATATATTCATGCATATGTAGTACACGTGTATATAACCTATGAAGTCCAGATTCTAGAAGAAGTGGATGACTGCATTGTTCCTGGTTATATAAAGATAACATTATTGGGGTTTCAGGAATGGCTCAGCAGTTCTGAGTGCTGGGTGCTCTTCCAGAGAACCCAGGTTCAATCCCCAGCACCCACATGGTGGCTCACAACTATATGTTACTCCTATTCCAGAGGATCCAGCACTCTTTTCTTGTAGGTACATATGTCTAAGGCTGACCACTTAGGTTTGGACAATCTATGCGGGAGCTTATTTGTGGTGGAGACTGATTCTTCCTTGTTCAGCAGCCTTGAGTACCTGTAGCTCTTGATCTAGGGCTGGGACCATGTGGAATTTCCTATTCTTGTTGATATATTAACTGGTGATGTCATTATGCTGGTCTTATTCAGCAACCATATTATTGAGAGTTCATGGGTGCATTTCCCCTATCATGTCTAGGGGACAGGCTATATGAACAGGCATTCTGGGCCTCTCATTCTTGGAAATTGTAATTTTTTTTTTTTTTTTTTTTTTTTTGGTTTTCCGAGACAGAGTTTCTCTGTGTAGCTTTGTGCCTTTCCTGGAACTCACTTGGTAGCCCAGGCTGGCCTTGAACTCACAGAGATCCGCCTGGCTCTGCCTCCTGAGTGCTGGGATTAAAGGCGTGCGCCACCACCGCCCGGCGGAAATTGTAATTTTTAAAATAAAAGTATATGCATATTGGTCTCTGAGCAAAAATAAAATTCTTCATTAGATCTCATATTGTCCATTCACTTTAAAAGAAAACTAATCTTTTTTTCTGTTCAGGATCCTGAGCAGAGACCCACTGCAGATGAACTTCTGGACCTTCCCCTTCTCAGGAAACGCAGGAGGTAATCTACAAAGAAATCACTTAATCCACAAGGAAGGGTGCTCTTCCCTTCCCCAACACCTGCTCTCATTGCTTAAGGGTACCTCCTCGCTTTTACTTGAACTCTTTTGTTCTGAAGTTGTCCTGATAGGACCCAAGAGCTCTCTGTTCTCCGTATCTTTATTCTGCAGTTGAGGCATTAGTATCCTAAGATTGGCATTTAGGGGCTTGGGGTGGGGGTTTTGTTTGGAGACAGGACGTGGCTCTGTAACCCAGGCTGACATCAAGTGTGCCATCTTTCTGCCTCAGCTTCCCAAGCACTGAGATTATAGGCATCCACCAGCCTATTTTTAGTTTTTTGAAGAACCTTCATACCATTTTCCATAGCATACTAATTTGTATTACCACCAACAGTGTTCCTGTCTCTCCACATTCTTGCCAGTATTTGTTACTTTTTAACTTTTGAGGATAGTCTTCTAATTGGGGCAAGATCTCCACAGGTTTTGATTTGCTCTTGATGATGGTGATATTGAATATTTTTTATATAACTTCAGTGCGGTCCTGAGTGCAACAGGCATGTCATGTCCAGAAGACAGCATTGCATAGCTTTCTTCTATCATTTAGCTCTTACATTCTCTCCACCCCTCCTCTCCAAGGTATCCTGAGCCTTGTTGTTTTATAATCAATGTTTCAATATCTAGAATTGTGTGTTATACCCAGATACAGCCTGTGAGCTTCTATTTATGTTCTGTGCATATTCAGGCACTATTATCATTTGGAACTCATTAAGCATATTTGAATTTTTTTTCTCCCCCGGAGCTGAGGACTGAACCCAGGACCTTGCGCTTGCTAGGCAGGCGCTCTACCACTGAGCTAAATCCCCAACCCCGCATATTTGAATTTTTATCTAGTTTATTTCTCAACAATAAAGTCATGGCTTTAATTTCTTAACAGAAATTTTTCAATTAGTTTTTAATTAAATTTTTTATTTTGCACTTTGTTCTTTGTAAAATATAAGAAGCCACATTCTAGGCAGAGGAAAAATAATAGAATGAGAAGCATAACTACAGAAAGTTATGTAAAATACTCTGGAAAAACAAATTTTATTTGGCTAGATTAATGGTTCTAGACCTGGTGAAGTTCTCTGAAGAGCTTTCAAGAGTTACTGATGCCTGAGAGATATTGTAGTAATTCATAAATTTGTGCAGAATGGTGAGCCTGGCTAGAATACAGGTTGTGAGTAAAGGGAAGAAGGACTGGGACTCTGGAAGGTCGAGCTTAGTTCACAAGAAAGTGCACAGGCTGAAGAGATGGCCTAGGGGTTAAGCACTTGCTGCTTTCGCAGAGGATCTAAGCTCACTTCCAAGAGCTCACAGCCACTTGTAACTCCACCTCCAAGTACTCTGACTCCTCTGGCCTCCTCCAGCACCTGCACTCATATGCATACATGCCCCCCCCATACACACATAAAATCTTAATAAGAGAGTACACAAGAATTAGGTGTTTGAATTAGAAGACAGTTTATAGCCGGGCGGTGGTGGCGCACACCTTTAATCCCAGCACTCGGGAGGCAGAGCCAGGCGGATCTCTGTGAGTTCGAGGCCAGCCGGGTCTACAGAGTGAGATCCAGGAAAGGCGCAAAGCTATACAGAGAAACCCTGTCTCGAAAACCAAACAAAAAAAAAAGAAGACAGTTTATACGATGAGAAGGGTGCCCAAAGAAGTTATATGCAGTAGAACTTGTATCTGTTGTTAGGTTAGTTTAGGACATAAGGACTGGCTGGGATTCTCCTAAGCAAGGCTGGCCAGGAGGCACTACTGTGTTTGTGAGTCAGGTGGGAAGCGAAGCTGCCTAGAACCAAGGCAGTGAGATTGGGCAGGGAGAGTAGCAGAAAGGGTACAGCAGTTGAGTATAGTTGTGTATAACATGGAAGGCCAAGGCAGGAGATCGCAAGTTCAAGGCCAGTCTAAACTATATAGGAAGACCCTATCTCAGAGATAGACTGGGGGACGAGGGGGTGGTTTAAAGGTGCTATGTAAGTAGACTATAGAAATGGCATAGTAAAGAGAGGGAGAGAAGAGTCAGAGTTGACTGGAGTTGATTAGGAGAGAAGGAAGGAGGATTGTTGTTACAAAAATAGGGAACTCAGAAAGAAAAGCTGGCTTGGCAGAAAGATGACAAGCCCAGGACTGGAGATGTGTTTGTGAGTCAGTGGGCAGACCAGAGGGAGAGGCTCTCAGAGCTCTCTATTCCAGTCTGGACCATTTCTTATACATAAAAAGCAAAGGCCTCAAATGCTGCCCCCTTGTATCTAACAAGTCATACAATGTCAGGCCTGTAACTCAGTTGTAGGATGCATGCATATGCTTGTAAGACTTAGTCCATGAAATGTATTAAAGGGACATGATTGCAGTGTACCTGGTTTTTCACTCACATAACCTTATTTTTCTTTTGGTAGAGAGATGGAAGAAAAAGTCATTCTGCTTAATGCACCTACAAAGAGGCCAAGGTAATGCTCCAGAGGCTCTGTGGGAATAATATGTATCCTCAGTTCCTGATACGGGAGGCTTGCTTGAGCCTAAGTGTCAGATAGTCACTTCTTTTCTAAGACTTGTGTGTGTGTGTGTGTGTGTGTGTGTGTGTGTGTGTGTGTGTGTGTGTGTGTGTCTGTCTGTCTGTCTGTCTGTCTCTGCAGGTGCCTTCAAAGTCCAGAGCAGGACATTGGATCCTCTGGAGCTAGAAGAGCACTGCATAGTCTGAACTGCTGAGCCATCTCTCCAGCCCCCTGAGTGTTTTTGTTGTGTTGTTATAGTTTTTAATGTATATGGCTGTTTTGCCTGCTTGTATGTCTGTGTACATGCGTGCCTGGTCTTTGTAGAGGCCACAAGGTATCAGATCCCCCTGGGAATCAAGCCCTGGTCCTCTGGAAGAGCAACCAGTTCTCTTAGTCACTAAGCCATCTCTCCAACCCCCAGGTAGTCTTTTCTGAAGAGAAAAGGAAAGCCATAATTTCCCCTCACAATAAAGTGGTTGCTATTACCATGATGAATGTTAAAAAGTGCAGCTATTAGGGACTGGCTGCAATCTGGTCTGGCTGAGCTGTGATGAAGCTCGTTAAGAACGAGGTTGAAAGAACATACTTTCTCATGCCATAATTGGCAGTTTTTCTGAGTGAATAGACTTCTTGATTATTACTTATTTATTTATTTCTATTTTTATGTGCATTGGTATTTTGCCAGCATGTGTGTCTGTGTGAGGGTGTTGGACCCTGAGTTACAGACATGTGAGCTGCCATGTGGGTACTGGGAATTGAACCTGGGTCCTCTGGAAGAGCAGTCATGCTCTTAACTGTTGAGCCATCTCTCCCAGCCCCTCCCCCCTTTTTTTTCTTAAAGAAGCATGCAACCCACACTGTTTTTATTATGTGGCTCTAGGGGTCAAACCCAAGGCTTCAGGCTTCAGGCTCACTAGGCAAGCACTGAGCTACATCCCCAGTCTTCTTTGAAACCATTTTTATGTTAAATATGCCTTTGTTTGGGGATTGCTGGCAGGTCAAGCACCGTGACTGAAGCCCCCATTGCTGTAGTAACATCACGAACCAGTGAAGTCTATGTTTGGGGTGGCGGAAAATCTACACCCCAGAAGTTGGACGTCATCAAGAGTGGTTGTAGTGCCCGACAGGTGTGCGCAGGGAATACCCACTTTGCTGTGGTCACCGTGGAGAAGGAACTGTACACATGGGTGGTAAGTAGAGTGGGCTCCAAACCCCATTGCTTCTGGGCCCAGGCTGTGTAGGCATTCCGTTAGCTGTCCTTGTGCCGAGGAATGAGATCGGTGATGGACCAGGAGCTCCTAGGAGAGCAGCTGTGGGCTCTGTAGTTCACTCATGTAGCTCCATCCCTAGGGCATAGTGGTCTCCTGTGCATGGTTTCTGGATAAATGTGTGAGAGGGGAAAAGACAGTTGAGAGAGCCTTGGGTTTGGGCTCAGCAGACTGGGCTGTCTGTCATGGACAACTAGATGATTTCAGGTGTTTCAGGGACTTGTCTTCTGTTAGCATGAGGTTAGAGCAGCTGGTACCTGTGAAATGGCTTTGTAAACAAATGGAACATATGCGTGTTAGGAACCCTCCCAGTCCCTCATCTGTGGAGGGAGAGAGCCGAGAGTTTCCCTTTGTTGTCTGTGGATTCAGCCCTGTCATTCACCTGTTGTTGTTGTTGTGTATTGCTGCATTTGTCTTTTTTGTCTTAACTCTGTAGTCAAGGCTGATCTAGAATTTGCAGCCTCCCAAGTGCTGGGGTTAGAGATGTGCACTGCCAATGTGTTTTCTGCCTTTTCCACATCTCCCACTCTCCTCACCTACAGTGCAGCTTCACAGCTTCCATCCTTGCCACTCAGTTGGCATGGGGCATGGATCTTGACCAAACGATCATAAACTGCTAAAATAAACCCCTTTGGTCCTGACCTGGGGTGACCTCTTAGCAACACCTAGCACACTTGACTGCTCCCTCCCTGAGGTTCTGTTGTCACTGGCTTTCTGTTTCATTGCTGTGCCTTCTGTAGGTGCAGTTCAGGCTACATGCTACTACCCAGCCCTGCCCTACTCCTGCTTCCTCTCTGAGGGAGCGCTTCTGTTTTTCAGTGGCCTCAGCTTTCTTCAGAGGTGTGTGTGGACTGTATTTGTCTATTTATTATGTATACAGTGTTCTGTCTGCATGTATGCCTGAAGGCGGAAGAGGGCACCAGATCTCATTACAGATGGCTGTGAGCCACCACGTGGTTGCTGGGAACTGAACTCAGGACCTTTGGAAAGGCAGCCAGTGCTCTTAACCTCTGAGCCATCTCTCCAGCCCGACTGTCTTTGTCTTCTGCGGTGCTTTATGTCCATTGTGTGAGACTAGACAACAAGTAATTGTGAAATGTTAAAAGAAGGAGTGGTTTGGCCTCTGTCACAGGGATGACCTGCTGTTATTTCCCAAAACCTTATCACTTAAAGAATTAGCTTGAGGCGGCTGTCTGCAATGGAAAGAAAGCAATGCCTTACAACTGTTTATTAAAGGGTTTATATTTGAGTAGTGCATGGAAAGAATCGCTGTCCTTGAAACTGCTGCAAAGCCGTGAGGACCGTTCTTACTACTGTATGGCACCTTCCTTCAGGGAACCAAATCCTCTCTTTCTTATTTTTGCTTTCTTTTTGATGTAGCTATAATCTCTTTAACTATTCTGTTTTAAGAAAGCTGATCAACAGTTATAAAACTTCTAGTATAGGTTCTACTCACTAGGAAGTGTTCTGGTTAGCTTTTGTCAACTTGACACAAACTAGTCACCTGGAAAGGGAACCTCAGTTGAGGAATTGCCTCCATCAGATTGGCATGTTGTGGGGCATTTTCTTGATTGATGATTGATGAGGGAGGGACCAGCTCACTGTGGGTGGTGCCACTCCTGGGCAGGTGGTCCTGGGTACTATAAGAAAGCAGACTAAGCCAGCCATGGGGAGTAAGCCAGGAAATAGTGGTCTCTGCTTCAGTTCCTGACTTGAGCTCCTGCCCTGGTTTCCCTTGGTGATAGACTGTAAACTGTAAGACCTTTCTTCCCCAAGTCGCTTTAAGTCACAGTATTTATCACAGCAGCAGAAAACAAATTAGAAGAGAAAGCAATCAAATTATACTCTGTAATGAACTTTTCATCATCACCCATAGTTAAACATGTAGTTCACCTTGCACTAAAATAAAGACAGAATTTGGAATATGACCTGATGCCTGATGGATATGTGTAGCTGGAAGTTTCCTGGTCCCACCCAGCCCCGTGGTCCGGACAAATCTCTCCCACCCGTGGTCCTGCAGCCGTTTATGAAATAATTACACAGAGGCTTACATTAATTACAAACTGTATGGCCTATGGCTCAGGCTTCTTGCTAGCTAGATGTGTTTTAAAAATCTTCTTTACCTGTATGTAGGGTTTTATATTAACCATTAAAATGCTCTATCCTAGCAAGGCATAGCAGTGAACACCTTTAATCCCAGCACTCAAGAGGCAGAGGTAGGCATCTTGTCCAGCCTGGTCTACACAGAGAGTTAGTTTGAGGATAGCCAGTGCTATATAGTGAGACCCTGTCTCAAAAAAAAATCCCCTTTCCCACTTTTGTCTTTAAATTTTCAGCTATTTTTTTCTTCAGAAGTGATATTAAAGACTAGCTTTTATTGTGAAAAGGTAAAACTTCACAAGACCTCTTTTTTAACAGAACATGCAAGGGGGCACAAAACTCCACGGTCAGCTAGGACATGGAGACAAAGCTTCCTATCGCCAACCAAAGCATGTGGAAAAGTTGCAAGGCAAAGCCATCCACCAAGTGTCATGTGGTGATGATTTCACTGTTTGTGTGACAGGTAAGCCACTAACAAAAACATCATGAGTCCATTTCATATGGGACGTTGTGCTAATGCTCTGCAGTTTTAGTTGAGACTTTATGGGCAAAAGACTACCAAAAAACATTAGCAAATATACTCATTAATAACAACATTCCCAAGTTTGGGGAGAATAGCTCAATGGTAGAGTGTAGCATGAATCTTAAAGAGTCTTGTTAATAAGAACAAACCCAGGACCAGTTATTGGGGTGAATGCTGGAAGATCAGAGAAGCAGAACAAGCCACAGCTTCCTCACCTCGCTAGTTCCTCAGCTGATCCTGTTTCCTCAGACTGGAAGCCTCTGAGTCCTTATCCAAATGAATCTCAGCTGAACTGCTTCTTGAAAGCCTGAAGGCTTAACCAGCTAAAAGCTTCTAGTTTCTGGTCCTCACGCCTTATATACCTTTCTGCTTTCTGCCATCACTCTCTGGGATTAAAGGCTCACTTTCTGGGATTAAAGGGTGAGTCACCATGCTTGGCTGTATCCTTGAACACACAGAGATCCAGGTAGATCTCTGCCTCTGGAATGCTAGGATTAAAGGCATGTGCTACCACTGCCTAATCTCTATGTTTAATATTGTGGCTGTTCTGTTCTCTGACCCCAGATAAGTTTATTAGAGTGCACAATATTTTGGGGAACACAATACCACCACAGTAGAGCGCTCATATAGCATAGGCAAGGCCATAAGTTCAATTCCCAACACTAAGACAAAGACAAGACACTTCCCAGTTTGCTATGATGTGGAAAGAGTGGTGAGCAAGGAGCAGAAAGGCGGATAACGGAGACTGCGAGACAGGAGAGGTCTGCTGTGTGTCCTGCTTTAGGATAACGGAGACTGCGAGACAAGAGAGGTCTGCTGTGTGTCCTGCTTTAGGATAACGGAGACTGCGAGACAGGAGAGGTCTGCTGTGTGTCCTGCTTTAGGATAACGGAGACTTCGAGACAGGAGAGGTCTGCTGTGTGTCCTGCTTTAGGATAACGGAGACTTCGAGACAGGAGAGGTCTGCTGTGTGTCCTGCTTTAGGATAATGGAGACTGCGAGATAGGAGAGATCTGCTGTGTGTCCTACTTTAGGCTCTGCATGACACACAGTCAGGATCAGAAGTTACATTTCGTTTTGAGTTATCATTACTGTATAAGTCCTTGGTATTTTTTTAATTTTATGTCTATGTGTGTATCTGAGTGTGGGTTTGTGCACATGACTGTGATACTTATTGTGGAGGCCAGAAGAGGGCCTCAGATCCCCTTGAAACTGGGGTTACAGTTATGAGCTGCCTGGCGTGGTTAGATATCCAACTTGGGCCCTTTGGAAGAGCAGTACATATTCTTAACTGCTGAGCTCTCTCTCCAGTCCCATCCGTGGTATTTCTTTCTGTCTACAAAACAGGGAAGGCTCCAGGAAAATTTGAAGATCATTTAGCATGAGAATCCTAGACTCTCCGTTCCAATAATAACACTACAAGTGCTTCCCTAACTATAGACAGCTCTGCTTTTTTGTGTGGTCTACCTACCTTTCTGACTTCTGATGTCATCAGATCTCATGTGAGACCATTGGCTAAGGAGTCCTTCCAACTCTGCCCAGCTTTCTGATTGGACACAGTAATTCCTTTCGGTGATGGCTTTTCTCTCCTTTTGCAGATGAGGGTCAGCTCTATGCCTTTGGATCAGATTATTATGGCTGCATGGGGGTCGACAAGGTCTCTGGCCCTGAAGTGCTGGAGCCCATGCAGCTGAACTTCTTCCTCAGCAATCCAGTGGAGCAGGTCTCCTGTGGGGATAATCATGTGCTGGTTCTGACTCGAAACAAGGAAGTCTATTCTTGGGGCTGTGGGGAGTATGGTAAGTGAAGCCTGTTTCCCTCCACTTCTTCCAGGTGCTCACCAGGATTTCAGCCTTTGAGTACCTAAACACATCAAATAGCCTTTGTTCAAGGCATGGTAATTCTGAAAGAGTCACAGAACATCTTCCTGGGGAAGAATGCCCTTGGTATAATGACTGTCGTTTTTGTGTGTGTTTCAGGACGGCTGGGTTTGGATTCAGAAGAGGATTACTATACACCACAGAGGGTAAACTGAGAAACGGCTTTTCCTACAGCCTGTCTAAAACAGACTCCAAAAGGACATCCTCTCTCCTGACTCCTCATATCAGAGTGTTTATTTCTGAAGTCTTTCCTGTCGAGGAGACTGACAACCTAGGGTTCCTGATCTAGCATTATGTGGTCTTGTCCTCTGACTAAATCCCAGAAAATTGAGAAAGTTTATACAGCTATTAGGGGCACTGGAGTCACATCTTACTCAGAGATGAAATTAAAATCAGCACATAAAACAGAAAGTGTCACAGACAGCTAAATCTCCTTAAGAAGATGGTGGGAAGTGACACGTTATCCCTTACCCCAGCCTTCCCTTACTACCGTTGAACACGGGTGAAACTGTCTTTGCTTAGAGGCTGTGCAGTAGGAGACATCCTATCTGATTACTGTCAGGACCTGAGTCAGCTGAGGGGCAAGCACAGTCACACTCTCGTACATGCCTGGGGCCCAGGCTTACCTGACACCGGCAGGTTAACCACTAATTCCAGTGCTGCGCCGTTTACGGTTGTCAGTTTCTGTTACAGCCTAAGGGTTAAATGATGCATGTAGAGACTCTAGAGTCACAGCCATTCCTCTTATGAAGAGAGACTGAGGTTCAAGGTGTTACACATACCCATGGCCCCATCTGACACCTTCGTTCTCTGCCTGTCTTACAAGCTGTAGAAAGGTATGGACGTCCTAGCTGCTGCCTCTGTACACTAAATGACTGAGATATCCAGGCTGCCGTGTTCCTTCTGAAACTGTCAAGGAGCCCTCATGTCAGAAGACCAAGTCTGCTAGAGATTGGAGCTACCCCTTTCCCAGCTCTACAGAAGCCATTCCTAAAACAGACTGGCAGGGAGCATCTGTCCATTCCAACTGCAGCCTTTTCCTCTGCTGTAAAACTTGAGCGCCATGTTAGGAAGAATGATCTCCAAGCTGTTGGGCAGCATGCTGATGGAACTTGAGGGTTATTTTCTAATATGAATTACGTACTTGGGCCTTTTCTCCAACATTTGCCTTGCAGGTAGATGTTCCAAAGGCCTTAATCATTGTTGCAGTTCAGTGTGGCTGTGATGGGACCTTTCTGCTCACCCAGTCAGGCAAAGTGCTGGCCTGTGGACTCAATGAGTTCAACAAACTGGGCCTGAATCAGTGCATGTCTGGAATCATCAACCATGAAGTGAGTGGCCCTTGAGATTTTAACCACATCAACAGAAGTCTGGGTTGGGATTTCTTTGATATTATAGGTTGATGACTGAGGAATTTGACTTAAGAATAAAGTGATCTCACACACATTATGTTCAGCAAAAGTAGCCAGCCACGAAGGAGTTTACAGTGTATGATTACTTCTGTGAAGTTCAGAACAGGCTCAGTGATCATGATGGCTGTAGTCAGGTAGAAGCTACCGCAGTGGGGAGAGATGCAAGTCTTTGTGGGATGTGTTTATCTTACTGAATTTCTTCTCTTTGTTCGGGACAGGAGTCTTAGTCAAAAAGAAGGAGATTCACCTAAGTGATCTTGATCAGGTGGTGGTTTTACAAGTGTGTTGGTACAGAGGCTAAGCATGATGGTGCATGCCTTTAATTTTAGCACTCAGGAAGCCAAAGCAGAGCGATCTTTAGTTTGAGGCAAACCTAGGATGTGTGACAAGATCTCTTTAAAAACCAAAGGCAGAAATCCCACGAATGTGTGTGTGCAGTATGTTTTACAGTTACAGCTCAGCGGAGTTGACTGCAAAGGATAATGAGAGAGTTCAGGGTTCATTCACCCTGTCACCATCGGAACAGAGACAAGAAATTTTTTTTTTTTTTTTTTTTTTTTTTGGGTTTTCGAAACAGGGTTTCTCTGTGTAGCCCTGGCTGTTCTGGAACTCACTTTGTAGACCAGGCTGGCCTCAAACTCACAGAGATCCATCTGTTTCTGCCTCCCAAGTGCTGGGATTAAAGGTGTATGCCACCACCACCGGCTGGGACAAGAATATTGTGCCAATGAAAAGAAGCATTTCTATGTCTCTGTAGATTCCTGACATACTGCTTCCAAAACACTGACCCCACACATACTTACCAAGGGTAATTACCATTCTACATCTTCAGGTTATGTTAGTATCATGAGTTTTTGTCATTTCTAAAGATGAAGTCTGTTCCCAGCCCCTCACCTTCAAATGCAAAAAAATAAAAAATAAAAAGAAAGTATAAAAGAAAAATCAAGTAAATTTATAGTTCCCTAACATGATGAAAGGTGAGTTCATTTGTATGTAGTTCCACAGCCCAATCTTAGGAGAGCACAAACTCAGGGTAAAGGCTGGAGAGTGGATAGTTTGAAAGGCACCTTCAAAATTACCACTTGATTTTGTGCTTTGTCAAAATGCAGGTTTGTTGTGAGCTTTGTTTACATGGGGTTTTTGGTTTTTTGTTGTTGTTGGTTTTTCTCTGTGTAGCCCTGACTGTCCTGGAACTCAGTCTGTAGACCAGACTGGCCTGGAACTCAGAGATTCACCTGCCTCTGCCTCCTGAGTGCTGGGATTAAAGACATAACACCACCACTGCCCTGCTATATCTATCAATTCAAAGGAATATGTGTAGTGAAATTTTGTAAAACACTACCTTGTGGGTAACATTAGATCACAGTGACTGATTTCTTTGTAAGCTTGAGAGCGAGTTTGCCCTGATCTTCCTTGTGAGCTAGGCAGAGTGTACAAGCACCACAGATTCAGTTATTCTGTCCTTAGATCATTGTCTTCTGAAATGAAGAGCTCTTGTGTTGCCTGCTTTAATTCAGAGTGTAGATTTTATAGTCAGAAATCCCTACTTCTTCCATCACATTCTGGTTCTGTGCTGAGCTTGGTTATGTCCTGTTGAAGATGGGAAGCTGCGGTACCTCTCTTAGTAGCAGGATCTGTTGGGAAGGCCTTTTCCGTCCTCAGCCTGCACACACACACACACACCCCGCACCATCACCATTGTTTGCTTCACCAGGCTGTTGCTCTGTTTTACTGTTCCAGGCATACCATGAAGTTCCCTACACGACCTCCTTCACCTTGGCCAAACAGTTGTCCTTTTACAAAATCCGTACCATTGCCCCAGGCAAGACTCACACAGCCGCTATTGATGGTAAGTTGTTGAGCTGTATCCTATGCCTTCCAAACTCAGGTTCTTTTGTGCTGTGAACTATTAACCTTCTTTTTCTTTTCTTTCTTTTTTTTTTTTTTGGTTTTTCGAGACAGGGTTTCTCTGTAGTTTTGCGCCTTTCCTGGAACTCACTTTGTAGACCAGGCTGGCCTCGAACTCACAGAGATCCGCCTGGCTCTGCCTCCCAAGTGCTGGGATTAAAGGCGTGCGCCACCACCGCCCGGCAACTATTAACCTCCTTAATGTTGTATGCATCCTCTGACTTCTCCCTAGTACTCAGTATTACCTTATTAACAAATTAGGCATTCAAGCATGGATTATTTTTTTAGTGATCTTTATAAACACAAAATAGATGTGCACTTTAATAAGAACACTGCACTTCCGGCTGGAGAGATGGCTCAGTGGTTAACAGTGAGTGCTTACTTGCTGATCTTCCAGAGGACCTGAGTTTCCTGTCCAGCACCCAATTTGGACTGCTCATAAGTGACTGTAACTTAGCTTCAGGGGATCTGATGCCCTCTTCTTACCTCTGAGGGGACCCATACATGTGGCATACACACAGAGAGACACATAATGTATACATAAAGTCAATAAGTAAATAATCACTTGTTTGTTTCCTGAGGCAGGGTTTCTCTGTGTAGCCCTGGCTGTCTTAGGACTTGAGCTGTAGACCAGGCTGGTCTCAGACTTGGGGATCCTCTTGTCTCTGCCTCCTGAGTGCTGGAATTAAAGACGTGCACCACCATACCCAGCTATAAATACTCTTAAAAACAAAAACCATATTTATAATTAGCACTTACTATAAGTATTCTAAATTAAGGTAGTACCCTTTTCCTGCTTTAAAAATTCGATGTTAGGGTAGCCATCCACACCTCAGTTTGATCCCAGGAACCTACATGGTGAAAGAGTTTTGTTCCCTGACCTCAGCTATGACATGTGCACAATAAATAAATCTTTTTTTTTTTTTGGTTGTTTTGTTCTAATATTGTTTGAAATATTGGAAAGAAAATGCTTTGGTCAGTTCGAGGTTCTGATTGGTCACCCTGCCTAGATACCCTCACGTCAGGATCACGTGGATAGATAGCTTCATATTTCTGTCTTCTAGTGCATGGAGCCTGCATTGCTGTACCGTCTCTCTTTCATGACCCGTTTGTGATTGGCTGTTTATTTTTGCTTCTCTCTCAGAACGAGGCCGGTTGCTGACTTTTGGCTGTAATAAGTGTGGACAGCTGGGTGTCGGGAATTATAAGAAGCGCCTGGGGATCAACCTGTTGGGGGGACCCCTTGGTGGGAAGCAGGTGATCAGGGTCTCCTGTGGCGATGAGTTCACCATTGCTGCCACTGATGGTGAGTCTGCCTGTGTGGTTTTAAGCTCTCCAGACAGGTGGCTGTTTTAATTCTTGATTAGGAAAGAGGAGTTTTTGTCTAACTGGCATACGGTTTTATGTCCAATATAGTACTTTTTTTACAGGCCACATTTCTAGATAATGGCGGGTTTGTATGCTAAGTTCACCCGACTTTATTTTCATTGTAACATCTTTGGTAAAATATCTGCAGAACCGTTGAGTACGTCTGTCTGTCTTGTACAGTACCATGTTGGTCCCGATCAGCATTGGCAGGCTATGTGAGAAGAAGCGCATAGGCAGTGTTCCAGGTGCTGTGCAGAAACATCCACCTCTTCCCAGGACTCCGTCCTCTTCTCCACCATGAGCCCAGTCCTTTATATTCCTCTCTGGACCTTGCAGCTTGGAGTACCATCTCTGACCTAAAGACATTTAGTCCACAGCCCCTCAGCTTGGATCACTAAAGCTACAGTGGCGATATAGCCCCTGGACTCTAGATGAGTCCTGATACATATCTGGTGTCCTGTTGGGGTCCTTAATCAGTCACCCTTTCAGTTGGGGCGGGGGGAGGGCACCAGCCTGAATTGGACAAGGAGAGAGAAACAGTGGGGGGGGAGGGGACGAGGCGGGGGCACCAGAGTGAATTGGACAAGAATCAGATTTCTAGTGTTGGCACGTTGTGACCTGTTCCTCTGCAGACTTCTCACCTCAGTCAGCTCCGCCCTGCACTCTGCATGCTCTCTATCCGTCAGCGAATCCTATGGGCCAGCTCCAGAATGGACCCAACAACTTCTTGCTGGTACCAGACCTTCAGCTGGTCTCTGCTTCAGCCTTTGCTCTTCTGCTGTGGCTTCTCATCACAGCCTCGGGGGTTCTCTTAAAGACCTCCTGCCCAGAGGCTCTCGTGGCTTGGTACATCAGGCAGCCTTCATGGCCCATATGACCAGGACTTCTCCTGCCACGTGTCCCTCTCTCTACTTTGTTCCTGGGGACCTTCCTCCTCCCTGTCTGTGCAACCTTGCTCTTGCTCTTATGTCTGCCTGGAGACTCCCTGAGTTCAGCTAGATCTCTGCTCAAGTGTCACAGAGTGCTGCTTCTCTGAGCACTTTCTCTAAAGTGATGGCCTGCCATCCCACTGTTCCTCATGGCCCTCATTTCCCCACCACTCCCCTTCCCTCACAGCACTTAGCATGATCTGAGAGAGGAGATGGCTGTTTGTGTCTGTGTTGTCGTTCTCCCTGAATTCACTGGAGCAAGGGCTTGGCTCTGTGTCCTGCCTCAAACCCCTTGAGTAGATTCTCTTACCTGTGTAAGTGAATGAGTGAGTGAGTGAATGAATGAATGAATGGCAGACACAGGAGCAGCAGTCATTTTTCCCCAGGTAGAATCAGGAAGAGTTTTTAGGCTCTATATAGAGAAATAGCTTTCCTCTCATTTGGTACTTAGTAGGACATCTTTCTAGGTCCAGGGTGTAAGAGTGGGATAACCACAGAATTGGGCAAATAGTGTCCTTTTAATCTGCTGTTTAATTTTTTTTTCTAGATAATCACATTTTTGCCTGGGGAAATGGTGGCAATGGCCGCCTGGCAATGACCCCCACAGAGAGACCACACGGCTCTGATATCTGTACCTCATGGCCTCGACCTATTTTTGGATCTCTGCATCATGTCCCAGACCTTTCCTGCCGTGGCTGGCACACCATTCTTATTGTTGGTAAGGGTTTCGTATATATGGAGTTGGGGTGGCTTGGACAGGATTGACCTGACTCACCTAAGGTACCTGTGGTGACGCTGTTGGAAACAGAAGCCTCCTGAAGCAGAGGCTGCCTTTGCGGGTCGTGTGCTGGATAGAGAGGCCATACGGAGTGGTGGGAGCCGAGCATTTCATTTCCCAAGTCAGTCATCTGCCCTGTCTTCTCTACTGAACTGTTGGTGTTAGGGTTGTGTAGCTCAGTGTAGCCTCAAACTCAGTACTTAGTAGCAAAGAATAACCTTGAGTTCCTGAGTTCCTGATCCTTCTGCCTCCACCTCCTGAGCGCAGGAATTACAGGCCTATTCCACCACGGTCAGTTGGGACTTTTTTTTTTGTTTTGTTTTTTGAGACAGGGTTTCACTGTGTAGTCCTGGCTGACCTGGAACTCACCAGGCTGGCCTTGAACTCACAGAGATCCATCTGCCTCTGCCTCCTGAGTGCTGGGATTAAAGGCATGCACCACCACCCAGCTAGTTTGGACATTTTTAATGTGATAATTTTGAACTCTTCCCCTAACATACGTCCACATCATAGAGTTGATTACTTCCATTTATCCAATTATGTGTTGTCTATATTTGTTTTCATCCTTTTTATTTGTTTTTGTTTTGTTTTGTTTGAGATAAGGTTTCTCTGTGTAACACGTCTGGCTGTCCTGGATCTCGCTTTGTAGACCAGGCTGGCCTCGAACTCACAGAGCTCCACCTGTCTCTGCCTCTAAGCGCTGGGATTTAAACCCCAGCTCAGTAATTCTTTTAAAAGAAAATTTCCAAATGCTTTTTGCAGAAACATTACATTGAACTCCATGATAAAAAGTCTTGGCTTTTATAAAAGCCCCACCCTTGACAATTGAATCAGGATCTCTAGGGTGGGATTTAGGTATTGTTACTTTGTAAAGTTGCCATGATACTTCCAGTGAACAGCAGAGTAGAAAACTCCCACTGCCCTATTGCGTATATAGTAGCTCAGTAAGTGTTTCACTTGTGAGACTAACTTGTAAATAGTAAGTAGTAAGTTACTGGGAGTCAGAAATGGTAGTGACCGCTTCCTGCCTGCCCTGTGTCCCTTCACTCTTCCTGCCAGTGTCTGTATATATTTCTTACCTAGTACGTGTTTCTCCCCAGAGAAAGTATTGAATTCTAAGACCATCCGTTCTAATAGCAGCGGCCTGTCCATCGGAACTGGTAAGTGATGGTGGCCCAGGTGCCAGTTTGGTCTTTGGGTTAAGAAGCTGTGATTAAGAGGGAAGGTTGTATTTTGGTGAGTGTTGCTGCTCTGACATTATTATCAGGGTGATATGCCTGTATCACATGTGGAAGCAATTAAGAGGCTTGCTCCACGTTGTGATGTGACATTTATATTCCTTACTATCCCATGAGCCTTTTACTTCCATGGTATTCCAGTTATTCTAGTCTTTAAAAACCTACAGCACTCGGGAGGCAGAGGCAGGCAGATCCCTGTGAGTTCGAGGCCAGCCTGGTCTACAGAGCGAGTTCCAGGACAGGTACGGCTGACTCACGCGATGACTGGAGTAAAGTCTCCTGCTGCCATCCTGACAGCCTGAGTTCAGTCCTGGGAGCCACCTGGTAGAAGGAGAGGTCCAACCTCAGAGGTTGTCTTCTGACCTCTACACGTGCGCTGTGGCGCACACGTGCACACACAATAAGTTAATGTATCTGTTTGGGAGCCCCTGGCAGTGGGACCAGGACTTATCCCTGGTGCATGAAGTGGCCTTTTGGAACACACTCCCTAAGGTGATACCTTGCTCAGCCTTGACACAATGGGGAGGGACTTGGTCCTGCCTCAACTTAGTATGCCAGACTTTGTTGACTCCCCAAGGGAGGCCTTCCCCTCTCTGAGGGGTGGGATGGGGGGAGGCGAGGGCAGGAGAAGGGGAGGGAGGGGGAACTGGGATTGATATATAAAATGAAAAAAAAAAACTATTTAGAATAGATTTAAAAAAATAATGTAATAGCTTTTCAAAATAATGAGCTGGAGAGATGGTTCATCAGTTAAGAGCACCTATTGATTTTACAAAGAACTGGGCTTTGGTTCCCAGCACTCAAATGGCAGCTAGCAACCATCTGTAACTCCAGTTACAGAGGATCTGACACCCTCTTCTGGCCTCCGAGGGCAATGTATGCACATGGTACACAGACATACATGAACGCAAACACTCATACACATAAAATAAAACAAATCTTTTTTTTTAAATGATTTGAAAAAATTTAAACCCTAAAATGTAAAAACTAATAGTTTAGTCTCAAATATTTGTGTGAACATTCCACTTCATGCAACTCTAGGAACTATGGTAGGGTGAGTGAATTTGTCAGATGCTCAATCTCTTTGCGGCATAGAAAAGCTCTCTCCTTCTGTACCACACATCTACCAGTGGTTCAGAGTTCCAGCCCAGGAGGCGGTGGAGGTGGTGGTGGCGGTGGCGGCGGCGGCGAAGAGGAAGACAGTCAACAGGAATCTGAAACTCCAGATCCAAGTGGAGGCTTCCGAGGAACAATGGAAGCAGACCGTGGAATGGAAGGTTTAATCAGTCCCACAGAGGCCGTGGGGAACAGTTGTGGGGCTAGCAGCTCCTGTCCTGGCTGGCTTCGAAAGGTAAGTCCCTTGGAACACATACTTCAGATAAGCCTGTAGCAGGAGCCAGTAAGGGTCGCCAAGGTCTCCGTTTCTTGTGCCCTACTAATTTAGACAGGAGACAAGGCTTCAAATTCCCATCTGGAAAGAAGGCACCACAAAGCTAATCTTATTTTCATTTCTGAGAAGAAAGGATACGGCATGTTTAAGATAGGGTCTCATTTTGTAGCCCAGGCCGGCCTGCTTCCCAAGTGCTGGGATTAAAGGTGTGGGCCATCAGTGGGACCAGCTCCTTTATGCCTGTATTATTGAAGTGAACGGGGGTTGGGGATTTAGCTCAGTGATAGAGCGCTTGCCTAGCAAGCGCAAGGCCCTGGGTTCGGGCCTCAGCTCTGAAAAAAAAAAAGACTAAAGTGAACATAATAAATTTATATAACTACCTTTTTCCTTTTTTAAAAAATTGTTGTAACCTATCTTAAAGATATTTTCATTTTTATTAGTTCTTTGAAGATTTTGTGCATTCTATTTTGATCATATTTAATTCAACCCTAACTCTGCCCAGATCTCTCCCCTTCCTGTGAACTCACTTTGTCCCTCATTTGTTTTTCTAAGCCCATCAGGGACAGTTTGTGCTGCCCATATACTCTTTTTTTCTTTTTTTTGGTTTTCGAGTCAGGGTTTCTCTGTGTAGTTTTGGTGCCTGTCCTGGATCTCACTCTGTAGACCAGGCTGGCCTCGAACTCACAGAGATCCGCCTGGCTCTGCCTCCCAAGTGCTGGAATTAAAGGCATGCGCCACCACCACCCAGCCCATGTACTCTTGGGTGTGTGTCCCTCCACCGAGTAGTTAACCTACCGGAGTAACCCTTTAAGAAGACTGACCCTTCCTCTCCTGGCAGCTTGCAATTGCCAGGAGGTCTTTAGCTAGGAGTAGGACTCCATTCCCACCTCTTCATGCTGGGGCTGGGGTTTGGTCTGGCTTGAGCTTGCACAGGTCTTAGGCACGCTGTCACAACTGCTGTGAACCTATGTGTGCAACTGCCCTGCTGTGTCCAGGGAGCAGTTTTCTTACAGTCACCCACAGCCTATGGCTCTTACAGTCTTTCTACTTCCACAATGATCCCCGAGCCTCTGGGAGGAGAGGGGATGATCCAGATGTCCTATTAAGAGCTGAGAATTCTTCAGTCTCATTCTCTGCACCATTATCGACGCTGTGGGTCTCTGTGTTAATCACTATCTGCTGCCAAAAGAAGCTCTGATGAGAGAAATGCTGATCTATGACTAGAAGAGTCAGTCATTAGGAGTCATTTAATACTGTGTCCATTTAACAGAGTAATGGTAGTAGGGTCTCCCCTGGGGCCTAGGACCTATCCATGCTATATTTTTGGCCCCAATAACAGTGCCAGGTATGGGCTTCCACTTGTGGAGCAGGCCTTAAATTCAGTCAGAAAGTGGCCAGTAACTCCAGTGATATTCATGCCCCAAGGCACCAGTGAGCGTGTCCTGCCGGGCCAGTTGTTGCAGTTTGAAGGGCTCACAGCTAGCTGATACTTTTCCTCTCTGGTAGTGTACATAGTAACTTTCAGCAATATAGAAAATTCACCAGTAGGGATAAGACTTCTCGGGGAGCACCAACTTGGTTTCTCTATGTTCTAGAACTCAACTATGTGATGTCTTCAGCAGTAGAGTCTTTTGTTGTTGTTTTGTTTTGTTTTTTTCTGGAGCTGAGGACCGAACCCAGGGTCTTCTAGCAAGCGCTCTACCACTGAGCTAAATCCCCAACCCCGAGTCTTTTTTTTCTTAACTAAATAAAATACAAGGTCTTACTTGTATCCTCCCGGTTGTCCTAGAATTCACTATGTAGATCTTGCTGGCCTTGAACTCACAGAACCTCCTGCCTCTGCCTCCCAAGTGAGCAATAGGATCCCACTGTCAGGTTCTGGAGGATAACCAGGAACACTGGCTGTAGCCTGTTTGGGGTATATGGGCTCTCACTTGCCAACATCTCCAAAAGAGGTAACCCTAGCACTGGACCTTTTGTTAGCCTGTGGTATCTAGTGGTATCATTGCCCCATTAGAGGGTAACTCTCTCTGTACAGGGAGGGACAGCAAACACTACAAAGAATTTTTTAAAAATCATAAGGAAACTTACTATTGTATAAGCTCCCTAAAGTATACACATAGATAGAGTTTAAATGGACTTGAAGTGTACCTGTGCAAAAATTAAGCTCACAGATTGCATACTGTTTATAGAAGTGAAATATTGGGCAGTTGAAATGCCTTACTATAGAAATACAGCTTATTAAAGATAAGGTACAGACAGTAAAAATGTAAACTATTTTATATGCAAAGATGGGATTTCTATCGGTAAGACCTTATTCTTTCAGAAACTACATTGCACCAAAGAATGTGGACTAGACTATCTAGTGGCCCCTGGACTGGCCATTGTTTCTCAGAGGGATAAAATTACTGGGTTTTATTGGTGTCCTTAACCCACCTCTTGCTTTATTCTTCTTGACTCAATCGCTAGTATGTGCAGCATGGCCAGCAGACATTTGCAATTTATGGGGTTTTTTTTTTCCTGGCTGGCCTGAAACTCACTATGTAGACCAGTCTGTCTCCAAACTCATAGCCTCTGCCACCCGAATGCTGGGATTAAGGGCATGCGCCACCACACATGGTGGAATTTTTAATTTTTTATAAAAGGGGTGGTGTGTTGATCTTCCACTAGAACTTAACTGGTCAGCTGAGGGTAGAGAGCAGAAGCAGCAGCCTGCCTCCAGCCTCAGCCTCCTGACCAGCTAAACAGTGTGTGTTGGGGAAATGAACCAGGTGCGGCTGGTCTTGAACTTGAGTCTGAGTTTTCATCACTGAAGAAAGGATGGCAGTTTGTTTCCAGGTTAGACAGTCTATGTTGTTAGCCACCACTGTTGTGTCCCACTAGAGGGTGCTGACGTCACAGCAGAATGACCGGAAAAGCTACAGGGGAGCTTGGGAGAGCGTAGATTGCTGCAGACACACTGATGAGATTCTTTCTTGTGGACCTAGGAGCTGGAGAACGCAGAGTTCATCCCCATGCCTGACAGCCCAACTCCCCTAAGTGCGGCATTTTCAGAGTCTGAGAAGGACACCCTGCCCTATGAAGAGCTACAAGGACTCAAAGTGGCATCTGAGTTTCCTCCAGAACATCAGCCCCCCGCAGGAGCCTGGGTAATGGAGTTTTCTGTCTTTAGCGTCCACTCAGTAGACCGTGATTGTGAGTTCCTAGGTCCCTGGCTCCCGTGTCCTCTAGCTCCTTGGACCACTGCTGCCCTGCCTCAGGTGATTCTGAGGGCCGTTCTCCACCTTCTAGCACCAGAGACCTATTCCCCCTTCCTCAGAAGTACCAAAATGGAACTGTACGTTTCCAAATTAGTCCTGGTGTCGTGATAGTTTATTTGTTTCTTTGTGAAACAAGTTCTATAGCCTAGCCAAGGATGGAGGATGACCTTGAACATCTCTGCTACTCCTGCCTCCACCTCCCAAATGATATCACAGGCATGTGTCACACACCCAGTTATGCAGTGCTGGAGATCCAACCAGGGAGTGTGCGTGCTAAGCAAGTGCTCCACAAACAACCACAATCCTAGCCCCCAAACTCAGTTGTCATGGCACCGTGAGTGTGAGTTGAACTATGTATAAGAAGTAATGTCAGCCAGCCGGTGGTGGCACACGCCTTTAATCTTGGTACTCGGGAGGCAGAGCCAGGCAGATCTCTGTGAGTTCGAGGCCAGCCTGGGCTACAGAGTGAGATCCAGGACAGGCACCAAAGCTACACAGAGAAACCCTGTCTCAAAAAACCAAAGGGAAAAAAAAAAAAAGAAGTAATACCTGGGCCTGACATGAAAAGAAGAAGGAGAAAGAAAGAATGCCTGTAGTACTGAAGGAGCAATGCATATACATCCAACCTGGGTAGAAATGAAATTGTGGTACATCAACAACTCTAAACCAGGGGACATCAAGCTTTTTGTAGAGAAGCCGCACAGTTATCACTTGACTTGACTTTACATCGGTAACTCTGACATTGTAGCACAAATGCAGTCACAGATGCAGGTTGAGTATCTCTTATCCAAATGCTTGGGACCCAGAAGCCTTCTAAATCTCATATTTTGCTAGGTTTTGGAATATTTGCATATATAAAATGAGTTATCTTAGGGCTAGGACCCAAGGCTAAACATTAATTCCTTTGTGTTTCATAGAACTCTTGTAAACTTAGCATGGAGGTCATTTTGTGCCTTATTTTAATGTACTTATTCTGAACTGAGTTCATCTCAGGCGCTTAAGTGTGGCATTTTCCACTCGTGATATCATACCAGTGCTCCAACAGTTTGGGATTTAGGAACATTTAGGATTTTCATGTTAGGGATGCTAACCTGTAATACATAATGAATGAGTGTGCCTATGTTTCAATAAAGTTTTGTTTACAAATTAAGTCAGAATTGACCTGTAGGCTGTTATTTGCTGATCTGATTTTTTTTAATTTTTATTGATTTATTTGTTTGGGTTTTTTTTTTTTTTTTTTGAGGCAGGGTTTCTTTGTGCAGCCCTGGCTATTCTAGAACTTGCTCTGTAGACCAGGCTGGCCTTGAACTCAGAGATCCACCTGCCTCCAAGTGCTGGGATTTTGGCTCTGACCTGCTAGTTTTAAAAAAAGTATATAAGGAAGAAAAATCCAGGCTAGAATAATTGAAAGCCTTCCCAGGACAGCGGTAACAAGCCTTTAAACCTTGAAGGTGAACATTCCCCTTCCTGTGTTGGCGTTCTTAAATTGTGTTGGTGGTTTTCTTCACTGAACTCTTCTCAAATCTCTTCTACAGTATAACCGGCTATTTTATCAACCATGTCCTCACTGTGACCAGAACTTGTTCCAAATAAATTCGTGCTTTTTTTCTCACTTCAGCATTTTTTTTTTTTTTTTTTTGTTTTTCGAGACAGGGTTTCTATGTGTAGCTTTGCACCTTTTCCTGGAACTCACTTGGTAGTCCAGGCTAGCCTCGAACTCACAGAGATCCACCTGGCTCTGCCTCCCAAGTGCTGGGATTAAAGGCATGCGCCACCACCGCCCGGCATCACTTCAGCATTTTAAAAGAGAACATATAAAAAATATTTTTGCAAAACCCTCCCAAATAGATGATTCTTACTGTAACCTAACGAGGCCTAAGCACTGAGAGTTCCCTTGTCCTATTAGTACTAAGTACAGTTGAAATCCAGGTATTTTTCTGTTTCACTTGCACCTATTCCTGGAGTATGTTTGTCTTACTGTGTTGGTTAAAATTGGGGACCCATGGCGGATCCTGCTGCATTTTCTCCTTCTTATCCGTAGCCTCCCCGGCTGAATCCTGCAGTACCGTGTGCTGGGAAAGCACTGCCCTCTGCAGCTTGTGCGTGCAGCACTCTGCAGGCGGAGGTTGAGAGGTTGCAAGCTCTGGTGTTAAAGTGTCTGGCTGAGCAACAGAAGCTCCAACAAGAAAACCTCCAGATTTTCACCCAACTACAAAAGCTGAACAAGAGATGGGAAGGAGGCCAGCAGGTAAGAGCATTCATGAAAAGAGTAATTGAATTTCTAAATCTGCTTTGAAAGTTCACAGAAACAAAATGTAAGGTACTGAGTAGACTTAGCCCTTTGTAATTCCCTGTCTCTTAATGATGTGACTTTTATACTTGATTCCAGGAACCTTGAACCTACCTAGTTTGGGTACCTGGACTTTATCATTTTTAACACCTAACTTTCATTGTTTTCTATTACTAGTTGTTTGGCTTTTATTATGAAAATATCCAAACATTATAATGAATACCCATATGCCTACCACAGAGGCTCAGTAATTACTAACATCTCACTCTTTGGTGTATATATGTATACATACTTATTTTAAGCTTTTTATTTGTTTATTTATTCATGCAACGGTGGGGATTGAACCCAGTGTCTTGCACATGGTAGGCAAATGTTCTACCGCTGAACTACATCTCTAGCCCTTGCTGAACCATCTTGAAGTAGCTTCTAGAAATGGTGTCTGGCTGGGAATGGCTCAGCTGAGTAAAGCACTCGCCACCTAGACCTGAGATCTGAGTTCAACCCCCGAACCCACAGCGGTGGGAGAGAGTCAACTGCCAAGCAAGAGTGTCCTCTTCTTGCACACTCAGAGTGGCATGAGCACACCCATGCTCTCTTCTGGAAACTGAAGTTAGAATTATGGCTTTACTGCGTTCATGTTAAATAGTTTGGGAAAAGCATTTTGCACATGCTGCTTCTTGGTATCACTCCATCTTGACTCAACTATGAGTGAGGGAGAGTCATTCTTTGGCTTTGTCTTATGTAAGTTTGGACTTGTTACTTAGTGAACAACCCACTCTATATGGTTGTTTCGAAGATTAAGGGAAACAGTGTCTATGAAACACTTCAGAAGGGAATGTACATTCTTGAGGTAAGATTGGCAGCGGTAGCGGGCACAAAGATTGTTTTATCCAGGACTGGTGAGGGTTTTTTGTTTATTTTTGCTTTTTAAGGCAGGATCTCACTATGTAGCCCTGGCTGGTCTGGAACTCACTATGTAGACCAGGCTGGCTTCAAACTCATGGAGACAGATCCTCCTGTTTCTGCCTCCTGAGTGCTGGATTAAAGGCGTGCATTACCACCCCAGCCATTTCACTTGTCACACTACGTACCTCAAACCCCGTGGGCCTGGGCAAACCAGAGCTAGTTAGTCTGCCTGCATAAATGTAAGGATGGAGACTGTTTCCAAGAGCCCCTGAACCTTCCACAAGACCGGACAGCAAATCCTGAGATCTGTACTGTATTGAAAACACAGGGCTGGAGAGATGGCTCAGAGGTGAAGAGCACTGGCTGCTCTTCCAGAGGTCCTGAGTTCAATTCCCAGCAACCACATGGTGCCTCACAACCATCTGTAATGAGATCTTATGCCCTCTTCTGGCCTGCAGGCAGAGCATGGTATACATAATAAATAAGTCTTAGAAAAAAGAAAAGAAGAGAAAACACAGTCCTGAAGCGCCATGACCAGTAGCGTCATTACTAATGTGGAACTGCTTTGTCTGGACAGGTGGGGACGCATTCCAAAGGAACTCAGACAGCAAAGGAAGAAGTGGAAATGGATCCGAAGCCTGACTTAGATTCGGATTCCTGGTGCCTCCTTGGGACAGACTCTTGTCGACCCAGCCTCTAGTCTCCTGAGCCCACATAGCCCTCAGGAAACTGGGACCCAAGAACTTCACCGCACACTTCCCGAGTGCAGAGAGCAGCTTCCCTGGCTTTCTTCACTTGCAGACACGAGCGAGCGAGCAAGCGAGCGCAGGGCAGAGGAGGCTCCAAAGCTCTCTCCTTGTGCACTTGGAGAGTGGCGGCGTTGCCTTTAGATAGGGTCTAGGAGTGACGTTGTTGTTTTGGAGAGTGGAAGGGTCCTGTGGCCCTGGCTTTGTCGTCGGTGACTGCCGTAGCAGCAGCAGCAGCAGCTCTGTACCTCATCTTTTGATCCCACCTTTGAAGAGGAGACGCAGTACTCACCTGAATTGTGCTGGGAGCAGCTCGAATCCCATGTATCCCTTTCATCATTAATTGGAAGCTGCCTTGGGATCTTAGCACCAGGCACTGCACCTCTGGATGGAGGAAGGAAAATGTCAAATCGGAGTGGGCTGTGACCAGGCCTGGCCTGCCCAGGGTCCTCCAGAGAGTGGGAAAGTATCCAGGAAATGTACTGGCAGAGTCAGTGTAGAGTTTGTTTCAGGAAGTCCAGTTACTTCATGCAGCTGAGTGCTTTATGAGGAAAGCTTAGATCGCTTTCACTGTGGAGGTTGCTTGAAACATCATTGAGGAGCAGAGAAAGGGCAGGTCCCTTGTCACAATCGCCAAACTTTCAGGCTACACTTAGTACAAGGTGGGATTTCCCAGCTCTGGAGGATTCCTCAAGAGAGGAGGTGTCTAAGGGAATTACACCAGCGGGTAACAGGTGGGGCTGTGGGAGAGAGGCAGCAGGGAAGGAAGGTAACACGTCCTTCTGTGCCTTGCCGTGGTATCTGAGAGCCTCAGTGGCACGAAAGTCTTCTGCCCCTGTGAAAGCCTCTTTGTACCTCTAGTGTCGTGACCCTTAGGGTCTGACTGGGATGAGTAGCCCCAGGCACCCCCTTTCTATGTCTAGTCAGTATTTTTCCTCTTTGGTGTGTTTTGAAGCCATATCATACCCAGTAAGTCAGTATCATCTTTCGTACTTGAGTGGCCGAAAGCCAGCACCAAATCCTTGGGGTCTCAAAAGCCTGACAGGTCAACCCTGCCAAGTGGGAGGAAAGCCTGACAGGTAGACCCTGCCAAGTGGGAAGGAAGCCTGACAGGTAGACCCTGCCAAGTGGGAGGGAAGTGGCTGCAAGCTCACTTCTGCTGTGCTCTTGTGGAGAGGAGCGAGCTACCCTGTCCAAAGACAGGACGTGTCCTAGAAGAGCTAACCTTCTAGGCAAGCATTTGATGGTTTCCCTTAAATGTGAGCCTTGTGCTTCCACCAAGTCTAATGAATTGCTTGTGTTTGGGGCCACAGCAGCTGCTTTGATAAGTAGTACCACATCCTCCATGCTGCATACAGCTAAATTAATATTGTTCATTTAACCAAAGCAAAACAAAAAGGTTTGCCGTCTGTTTTAATATTGCAGGAGGACCTGCCTGTGCAGGAGAAATTGTGCCATTTCCATAAACCAGTGATGTACAGGCTGGTGCTGGGAGGAAACCCCATCTCTGGGGATGGGCAACTCTGTCCAATGGGATCATTGATGTCCCACTGTTTTCTCAATTCTGAGAAGCCTAGTACAATAGTACTGATGTAATCACTGAAGCCTTTTCCCAGAATAAGGGAAGGCCCAATCCTGACGTAAGGTCACAAGTTAGGGGGCTGGCCATTGGCTGTAAACCCTGTCAGAGAGTTTTGGTTCATCATGTCAACGCAACTTTGGTTTTCTTCAGGACTGGCTGGCCTTTCGAGGTCCTGTATCCTTATGCTTACCATCTCAGCAGGCCTGAGAGGCGGGGTTTAAGGTCTTCATTATGAGCATTGCTTCTGCTTGGGAGCTGAGGGGCATGGGCATGTTGCTGACTGTGGAGAGACAGTGAATATTGAGGTGGGCAGGAGCCCAGGGGAGTCATTCTGTAGCAGAGCATGGTGGTTGTTTTTTCTAGTATATTCCCATGGGAAGTCCAGGTTTGCTATTAATCCAGCTGCGAATCTAAGTTCTGTGCCTTAGAGATAATTTGCACTTTCCAGAATTGTGCCTAAGACAGCCATAAGATTTTTTTTCCCCCACCAAACAGCTATGCAAACAGAAAATAGTTCCAAAGTGGCAGCCGTGCACTGGGTTGAGGAAAACAAAAGACAGCAGAAATGTCTTCAATGGTTTCCTCTAGCTAAATCTTGGTCAATTGTCCTGCTTGTCCTCTATGCAGTGCTCAGTGTTTGAAGCTTTCCAGTAGTGTTGCTCTGAGTTACAGTATAGTCTGCGTTGATCCTCTGTGCCAACATTTGCTGAAAAGCCAGCTTATTGTTAGCCAGATGCTGGAAAGGGTAAGGGTGGAGTGGTGTGGCATTTCTGTTTTCAATAAACATTTAAACTCTCAGCTAGTGCTGTGCTTCAGTAAGCCTGTATAACACCTCAGTCACTGGAGACAAACACCCACCGTTCTAGGCCTTGGGAAATCTTTGATTCTGTGAGTCTTCTATAAATAAATAGTAATAATGAAAAAAATGTTCTTTTAACAGAAATGATGCAAGAGATGTTACACAGAAATAACCTCTGCTGTTTTCCAGTCTCATTCTTGCCAAAAAAAATCATTTTTGCTGCTACAGCTCCCCCCCCCCCCCAAAAGTTTGTAAAAATGCAGAAAGTGCAGAGAGGGGAGGAAAGAGACATGAAAAGAAGGGTCCTGGGCTAGCAGGGTAGCTCAGCAGGTCAGAGTGGCTCTCTGGGCAAGCGTGATATGACCTGAGTTCAACCTCCAGGAGCCACAGAGCTGCCTCTGACCTCACACGCGGCGTGTGCATGCCTGCGCTCATGCACACCAAGCACATGCACAGTAAGGAGAGGAATCACGTTTCTTTACGTATCTCCTTGGTCCTGATGGGAAGACTTGTCCAAGTGAGCAGGCCAGCCTGAAAAACTTCCTCAGGAAAACTGAGTTGCGTTTGGTCTCCTTGGCATAACAGCTGTTACTTTTCTTGGCTGAGCACTGCACTAAAGTTTCAGGTGAAGAGCTCCTCATGCTCAAATTTCATTTGGTTTGTTATCTGTTCAGGAACAGTCATGCCAGGAAGAGCAACCCAGAGAGAAATGTGTATTTTAGAGAAAGTCCTTCACAGGAGATCCCCAGGCCTCAGAGGAAGTACCTGTCATAATAGCAGGAAGGTGGGGTGGTCTCTAGTGACAACTGTGAGAGGCCCTGCAAAGCCAGTCATTTATTGCCTTGGTGATTAACGGCCGACATAAACATTGCTGATCATTAAACCTCACAGGCCCTGGGCTGTGGGGAGGAAAATCTCCGTCCCAGCCCTGCCTGCCATCTGTGTAGCTGTGAAGGGTGATCAACTGAATGAAAGCCAGTGTTGACTGGGCACTGTGCTGTGTGGACTGGGGAATCCTGCTCAGCATGTCGGCACACACCTCTAAATGAAAAGAGCTACCTTGTGAGTTTCACCATGAGAATTTCCCACAGCTTTCTGAACTTTAAAATGTATGTGTACGTCATGTACTTAAAGTAACAGGACATGGACCTTTACAAGCAGCATCTATGTGACCTCTATCCAGGAAGAGATTCGAGGTTGTAAAACAGCTCTTACCTCCCGGAGCCAAAGCTAGCTAAATTCAGAAGACTGACAAAGACTGAGGTCAGAGGCAACACAAAGACATGGGGTCTTGTTTCCTTTCTTTGGCAACTTAAGAATGAATGACTGCTTGTGTCTGTACAAAGACCTGCACACCGTTGTTTCCCCTTGAGGGCCCTGAGTTGGGACCCCAATAACATTGTGGGATCCCAAATCCACGTGCCTATGACCCCAGCAGATGAGGCAGGGGAATCTGGCTCTACTTGCATCATTCCCAACCGAAGGAGTGGCAGCAGGTGAACCCCTGCCAGTGTGCCCTGTGTAGGTTACCACCCAGTGTTGCCAGTCTCCAGTTTGTCAAGACGGACTCCTATCTCAAAAGTCAGAACATATTTTTGAATGTTTCCTAACAAGAAAGCATCTGGGGTGGGGTGGGGTGGGGAGCTGAAGAGATGGTTCTGAGGTTAAAGAACTCGGGTGGCACACACCTTTAACCCCAGCACTCGGGAGGCAGAGGCAGGTGGATCTCTTGAGTTTGAGGCCAGCCTGGTCTATAGGGTGAGTTCCAGGATAGCCAGAGCTACACAGAGAAACCCTGTCTCAAAAACAGAACCTGGGTCCCCAGCACACACCTGGTGGCTCACAACCATCTGTAACTCCAGTTCCAGGGTGTCCGACACTCCTGATTTCTGCAGGCACCAGGTGTACAGCCAAAACACACCTAAGATAATCTTTAAAAGTTCTGAACATCTGTGGGGATGTAACTTAGTGGCTTTAGCCATGGCTTAGTATCTGTTGCTTTTAACATGGAGCAAGGAACTTTGTGTACTCCCTTGGAAACTGGCCTGGGGGAGGGGCTCGTCAGGCTAAATATCCAGTGGTCCTAGGAGCTTAAGCACTCTTCCTAAGCTGCCCAAACCCACTAGTTGAAGGCCTAACGTGAAGTAGGCACTGTCCTCACCGTTAAGACCCAATCCTCTCAGAGTTTAAAATACAACTGTGACTATGCTCTGATCGCAGGGCTATGAAACTGAGCATTGTCCACACTTGCCTAGATGGGATCTGCTGCCTCACGGTACCCTGACAACCTTATTTGAAAGTGCCCAGGCAGCCTCTCTCTTTAACATATGAGATGCATTTAAAAAGAAAAGTACAGAGAAGAAAAATTGTTTTCTATCCATCCCTACCCTGTAAAGTGCAAAAAGATGTTTCATTATACAGCACACCACAGGGAAGCTTTAGGATACACAGGTCCCCTAATGTTACATACTTTGGTTGGCTTTCAGCCAGGACCATGGGCCATGGAGGCCAAGGATAGATTTCCATTAATAATGCCTCCCAGCACAGTCTTACTATCTTTTATAAGAGTTACCATCTGTATGACAATGACCCTCTGACCTCAACTCACTCATCTTTATACCCCTACTTTGAAGAGTAAGAAGGGCTAACAGAAACCCTGGACACATGCCATGGCCAGAAAACAACTGAATACAGGCACTGCACCAGCACAAACCGTGGTCGGGCTCAGGAGAAGAAAGCTTTAATGCAGCCTCACTGCCCAGTGCCCTCACCCACCAATTCTTCAGGCAAGAACATAAACACAGCCACGGTGAGGATCCAGTGAGAAGCTGGGGCTCCCACCTGCCCCCTGCTAGGCAGCAGGCTCTCCTCCTGCCTGGTTTTGCTCAGCAGGCAGTTCCTGAGATCTGGAAAAGTTCTGTTTTCTCCCTGCTTCCTAGCACTTATCCTCTGGTTGACTGTTGAAGGGAAGCACAGCCTTCTGAACTAAGCAAGGCAGTCTCAGCCACCGTCTGCTCAGCTGTCATGCCTCCTTGGAGGCGGAGGACGGTTCTTGATGGTCTTACACTTAGGTATGTGTCGTTCAGCCACCTTGGGAGCAAAGTGGCGGCTGCAGTGAGGACACTGGACATAGTCTGGGTTTTCTGCAGGCAGGACGGGAGGCAAGTCTGAGGGATTCCCACCTCTGGCAATGACCTGCTGGACCTGTCGAGCATGACGGAGGGTACGGATAAAAGATTCATGCTTCTGTCTCCAGGTGCTCTTCCGAGGAGTTTCAGTCTGTAACGGGAAAGGAACATTGAGCCTCCAGCCGCCAGGGATCTCTCCTTTGCTGGGGCTCCATGAAAACAATAGGGGTGTGAAAAGGTCCTCAAGATCAAAGAGCAGAAAAGGAGGAGGAGTCATGACTGACCTGCCAGTACTGAGGCCCAGCCCAAGAGCCTCCAAGGGGGGGTCCTGCCTGGAGGCCAGGCATCCTGCCAGGTCCCCGAGAGGGTTGGGTGAGGTAGAAAGGAGGAAAGTGTGGGGATGAAAGCAAGCAGAATTTAAGGGCTTCTCTCCTAACCTATGGATCCAGGTGCCCAGGAACCTACCCTCCCATGAAAAGAGAGGCTTGTCCCCTGGAAAAACTGAACTAGATAATTTTTTGTTGTTTAAGATTTATTTATTATGTATACAAGTGTTCTGTCTGCATGTATACCTGCACACCAAAAGAGGGCAGCAGATCTCATCATAGATGGTTGTGAGCCACCACATGGTTGCTGGAAATTGAACTGGAAGAGCAGCCAGTGCTCTTAACCTCTGAGCTATCTCTCCAGCCAGAACTAGCTAGGTTTTATAGATATCTATTTATTTATTTTTATTTTATTTGCATTGATTGGTGTTGTGCCTGCATGAGGGCATCAGATCCCCTGGAACTAGAGTTACAGACAGTTGTGAGCTGCCATGTGGGTTCTGGGAATTGAACCTGGGTCCTTTGGAAGAGCAATCTGTGCTCTTAACCACTGAGCCATCTCTCCAGCTCCTTAAAGATATATTTTTTTTAACTTCAATTTGTGTCTCTATGTGTATGCCATATGTGTATAAGTGCCCATGAATGAAGGCCTGGAGAGGGTGTCAGATCTCTTGGAGTTACAGGTGGTTGTAAGCCACCTGAAGTGAGTGTTGGAAACTGAACTCAGGTCCTCTGAAAAGCAGTAAGCACTCTGAACGACGGAGGCAGCTCTCCAACTCCTAGATGGGTTTTAGTTCAGAAAATCCATCCAGGATAAGGAACAGGGTTCATCTCGGGGCTGGTGGTGGGAAGCCTGAGCAAGAGTACCCAGCCAACATGGAACGGCCAGGCTGCTTCCCAAGATTAGCTCCCAGAGTCCCAGGAACTGGCATCTTCTTGGAAGGGACAATAGTTCTCTGGATTCACCCAGTAGCCTGAAATGAACCTTCCTACACTGGCTTTGGGGGCCCACAATTACAGGGCTCACTTGATAAGTATAAAGCCATTTAGTGAATAAACCCACTAAGGCTTAAATGAACAGCAGGGCGTGGTGGTGCATGCTTTTAATCCCAGTACTCAGGAGGCAGAGACAGGAGGATCTCTGTGAATTCAAAGTCAGCCAGGACTAAATAGTAAGACCCTGTCTCAAATCAAAAACAAAAAGAAAAATACCAAATGAACAGGCAAGGATTATCAGAGCTTTGATAAGAGCTTAACCAAAGAGAAAAGGTTCCCAAAACACAAAAACAAAAACGCAGGAAACTGAAACACACACAAAAAAACATTTTAACAGAAAAATATAATATCAATAAAGTATTGAAAGATATTGTGTCCAGAATATAGAAATAACTCAGCAGTTACCAGCACTGGCTGTTCTTGCAGAGGACCCACGTTTGATTCCCAGGGCCCAAGTGGATCCCATGCCTCCTCCTGGCCTCCTTGGGCAATGCATACATACACATGGTACAGACATACACACAGGCAAAACACCCATATACATAAAAC